GTGGGCAATGTCCGTGTGACATATTAGGACCGCCTGGTTGTCCCTAAATCGAATAATTTGCGTACGCGCATTATTGACGAAGCCCATTCGACGCTGACTACGGCTCACCCAGGAAGAAACAAGACCCGAGCGATTCTCAAGACTCGATACTGGTGGCCACGCATGTCATGAGGCTGGCGCCCAGCGGTGTCTGCCTTGCTTGAACCCTATATAAGCCAGGCCTGCCCTCCGGTTGGGTGCAATCCTGGGGTGCGCCGCACGAACCACATTTCTGACCTTGGCGTTTCTGGCACCTTCGATATCCGCAGCTCTCTTGTGTATTTAGCTGTAAGCTCCATGCCATACTGGCACAAACTTCTCTTTTCCTCTTTGTCAAATATTATAACTTTCACCAAGGCCTACCTGCGTGTATACCTCGTAGAACTCTTACACAGCCTTCTATACTACAAGGTAGTACAAGGTAGTTATAAAACACAGTAGTAGCTACACGTTAAGAATATTAAAAATATTAAAAATAGAAAACAGGAAATTTAAATAAATATTGATAAATATAAAGTATTTGATTTTATATTTATTATAATCAAGAATTTGTTCTATTAATTATAAAATACTTATTCCATTATTAATGTCAATAATATTCATAATTTAATTTATTAAATCTTTAACTTGTAAATATATAAAGAATTCTTATAGAACTTTTTTTTTAATATTCAAAAAAGGTAACTAGATTAATATCAGGGGCTGCCACCCTTAAGACTCCCGCTCCTATAGTTGGAGAAGCTTTTTTGCTAGAAGCTTGGGACTAACACAATTCTATTATTTAGACTAATCCGCGTCTCTGTGTTCTTACCGGGGGAATAGTTTGAACTTTTTAACAAATCCGCGCTTAAGGATATCAATAGCTTCGACTAGCGCCAGTTTAATAGCCCCGTAGTCTGAAGACGTAAACTTGCGTTCTTTCCACTTTTCCAAATGTCAAAGTTGAAGTGAAGGCAAGCCTCCGCTTCCATAAAACAAGACGCCCATTGCATACTTACCGGTATCCATCCGAGCCACCCAGCCTGCCTTCATTTTCTCGCTTTAGTGAACTGAATTTCACGGGGTGTTGCAGCCATCACCATGTCTTGGCAATCTTGGCATAAGTGGATACGATTCACACATGGCCACCCCTGTATATAAGTCGGACTTCGTCCTTCCTTTCTTGCGCTCTTGTTCTCTCAATCAATCAATCAATCAATGAAGACGTTCACGAACACTCGCGTTGTCTTACGTGATCACCTCTTCCGTATGGTTCAACACGCTCCAACCCGGCCGCCCGAGGCTCCAGGCTGACTTCTGCTACTGGCGAGCGTAACTCATTGTTACCCGCAACTGATCCACGTTTTCTCTCATGGTAAGTCGGTGGTTTATCGTCGAATATTCACTTTCCAAAGCTACATGAACTTTTGCTGAGCTTGAGAATTTGAGCTAGTTTTATCGAGGTACGTTACTTGTCTCGGGAAAGCTCACAGGTACATGCACCCATCCATTTCCCTACACGTACAGACCTATATTTTCTGAGACACTTGCAAGTATCCTGGCCGAAACATACTCATTAAAGTACCTTCCAATCCTGGAATCCCGGATTCGTGATGAGTCTTTTGTGATGATTCTACTTTTCGTGGGGCTTGATTGAATTGTTTGATTTTGGTTGGTTGGGTGGTTGCATACGCGGCCCCCAACTGGTGTAACTTGTTGGAAATTTCATCAAAATCCCGAAAATAATCCTTCCAAAGCCTTAACGAGTCGTGACATTCTCTCCTTTCATCTCCCGCTTTTATTTTCCTTTTTCTTGTCTGCTGGGGATGCTGATTCTCCAAGCTGTCGTCCTATTCCTCACCTTCACCACCATTTGAGAACACCAAAGCCCGGACCTCGATACTCTCTCTGGCTGTCCGGTTCCCACATTCACTGACCTCATGCTCGCCGCCAGACTGCTTGAAGGACGTGTGCGGACAGCCTTTAATATGGCCCAGGGGTAGTCGCGTGTTTGTCAGCATGTGTCTTCCCGCTCAAACGCATCTTCCCTCCGTTCACTGGAGGTTGGACGGGGCAGGACATGAAACTTACACCTCGCTTTCATCCCTTCCGCGGAATCATAAGTCTTGAAAAGCAGAACTTCATCCTTTGTCTGGCTATTCAGGTAAAACCACTTCATTCCTTCATCATAAAGTGGATAAAGCCCTTCACCCTGGTAGTTCTTCCTCACGTGGTCGGCAGCTACCAGCTTCTCTGGCCGGACCGTACTGCCATCGCAAACGGCGAGGGGGTAATCGGTTACGGTGTATCGAAGCGGGCGCCAGACGCTTTTTTGCGGGTAGGATTTGTAAGTTCAACGTTGAGAATGCTTTTTTTGGTGCTCGTGTATCAAGGAGATGGTGCAGGCGTGTACGTACTTGATTATTCGGAAGCGTCGTTGGAGGAGCTCTTCGGCCCGAGACTTAAGGTGGTGTTTTACTCGTTTGGTGGCGGCTAGGGGGCTTTGGTCTTATTATAACGACGTGAAAGTGAGATTAAAGTGAGCCAGTGGTAACTGAGTTGTGGGTAGGTAGATTGGATGCAAAAGTGCTAACCAATGTGAACGGCGCGGACGGGCTTCAGTATGAGCATTGGATCGTCAAGGTCAATGACACTCCCGGCCTTTGCAGTAGTCCGCTTGTCGTCACTCGTCCGGAGCTTGAGTTGGTGGATCAGCGATGGTTAATGGTTGTTTTCGGGTAAACACGGCCGGTTCGGAGGCACATTTGACGATGCTCATTTGCTCACTCACTCTCCAGTCAAAAATCACCACCTCCGCTCCAGGATCGATATTCTGCAATAAGTCAATCACTTTAGGCAGGTACTCCTTCTCAATACCCTCCTGGTCGGTCGGTATAGCTCCTAGCTCTTGCCTCACAATCTGGAATCCATGGTCATCGAGGTTGAATAGCTCTTCACTGCCTCTGATATCGTGGATGGCCTGCTCTGGTGAGGCGGCGAGAGTGAAGTTTTTCCTGGGACAGCCCTCGGGAGCCTGTGAAATAAACTCATAGGGCTTTTCGGTACGAAACTTGTCTTCCCATCGGATATAGTTGAGCTTTGCCTTTTGGTCTGCCTGGCCTACCGTGACGTTCCCCTGCTGTGGCGCATGTTGAACGCTTCTAGAGGTATCCATTGCTGTTGCCGGAATTGACAGGTTCTGTGACGATCTTAAGATGAGGCTCTGGTTTCGGTGTGCTGCCCGGAATGGTCTTACTCGCAGCAGGAAATCGGAGTCACTGGTGGCTCGGTTGCGTCTAAGTCGTATGATGAAATGTCACAGGCTTTTTGCACAGCATGTGTGAATTAGGTTGGACACCACAGGTTTGGAAAAGGCGATCAAGTTTCTGTGACATACCATACCTCTACTGTAATGCGCCCGCTTGGAAAGTGATGAGATATTGTGATGATCTTATACGTTGAAATTCTTCGTTGTCTTTTATTCCCATCACCACTCACGCGTTGTCCAACTGATAAGTGTTCCGTGGCCCTGCCCCCTTCCAACTTGTACACCCCTGACCATTTGGTAAAAGGCATGTTGACTAGTCCTACGTGGTGATTTGATGATGGTTCGTGGTATCGTGCAGCTCCTGCAGCCCGTGCAGCTCATCCTACCTTACTTTACTATCTATCCGTTCCGGTACATTACCCCAAGAGACCCCCGCAAATTATCCTGCTCTCCCGAAATTCTGTGCTCGCGTGGTACAATGGCTCCGCCTGCCGTTTACAACTCGTCGGTTCATCCCGCCACGAGATGCCGGACGAGCTTGATTCTGCAGATTGGTCCGACTGCCTCTTACGGAGACCGCCTCCGCAGTAAAGCCTCGTCTTCAGATATCAGGCCGCAATAAACCCAATATCGCACTCGCACTTCCCTAATGTCTTCCCACACTCTTTGCACACGTCGTCCTGTGAGCTGGAGCCACTTTTGGTGCCTGATTGAAAAACAGAAGGTCTCGTTTAGCGTTTTCCTTGCTGGATGAGTTGGCGTCCTTCTTGAAGTGCTTCCATGGCTGTGATCTGCCATCGGTAGACTCCGCGAAGTGATCGTTACTTTTGGTCTCTTCTCTCGACGAAGTTCCCGACATCGCGTTCTGATTTGACTGGTCTTGAACGATTGGTGTGTGATATGGAGCCGAGGAGCCCTGGTTTGAGTTAGTACCGTGGCTGTAAATCTGAGAGGCCTTGACGCAATGCGCCGGAAACCTGGTATGACCGGCAGCGTTGATCGAACACTTACTGGTACTGGGAGACGTGTCGATTTATGGTTGCCTTCTGACAGTCAGTGTTATTTAGGAGATCGCACAAAAATAATGATCTGAGGACTCACATAGACCCTTTTATCTCTTGTACGAATTCATGAATTGTCAGAAAGACCAGTGGTCTGGCACAATCCCATCTGAACGTCACTGTGTGGGTGACTGATCACCTAGCGTATCGGGACCCAAATGTACACAGAGCGACGGCTTCCGAGAAAATATGTAGAAGGGTTTCACTGCATAGCTGCCTTAACGCGGCATAGCCACCGTTGATGTTGAATAGCTACAGTGGTGCGGCCCAGTCCTTGGAGCCTTTCCCCTCAAACCGGCGAAGCATGCACAGGGTGGTAGCGATGAGAACGAGGGCTGGAACCACGGGAACCAAATTGATGCGGGCTGATACGCTATTCAGCTGGAAGCGGCAAGAACCCCCCGCGTCTCCACACCATCTTTTGAAATATTAGAAATAAGCAAGGATTTTGACAACCCGGCCTGCCTGTCATCTGATAAATGATGTCGGAAAAGGGCATGTTCTTAAAAGAAGTCACGATTGTAAGGCCTAAAAGTAGAGTGTCTTTTGTCGGGCAACACACTGAGATTCCATTGCGTGTAGTGCACGTATACCTCCGACCAGCAGTCACCGACCTGAACGCGAGAAGTGTGCTTTTTCGGGCAGGTGCCTTGGAGATTTTCCTGAACCTCTCGAGGCCAAGCGCCAGCTCTTCTTGACCACCCTACGAAGCGTCGCTTGGAGGAACGGTAAGATCCCATTTGAAAGCTTTGGGAAGTGTCGCGGGATGTGCATCTTGTTCTCATGTCGAGTGAGTATCATCCCGTTCCCTGCCCAGTTGAGCGTAACGGCCTTTTGAGACCGCTCTTGAGTGAAGTTGAATTGGATCTTGAAATACTCCGAGTCCCATACCGTAAATCGTGCTCGGCGCGCTTGTTGGTTGTAGTCTAGCGCCCACTCAAATATATCATCCTTGAGGTGACGAAGCTCATAGAGTTGCGATTCTCGTCCTTGGAACCTGAGCTCCAAACAATTACCCTTTTCTTTTTGACCCTTCGGACAACAGACTTCGATGAAAAAGTTCCCTGGCCAGCTACCGTTCGCATTGTAGTATCTCCCAGCGTATAAGTCCAATTGTCGCGGATGAAAGCAGCCCGTGTTGCGCTCGCTTTCAAGACCCAATCTCATTGTTTTGACAAGTTTGAGTTTCTGATCCCGACTTCTCTTCGCCAGTTGAACGTACTTCTTTGCCATGTCAAGGTACGTGTTTCCTCCATCTTCAAATTGGAACAGTGCGGTGATGTATATTTGAGCGATCCAATCTGCCACGTCGTTGAGTGGCATCGAATTCGTCAAAACCACTACTGCAGAATTGGATGCGGGGAACATGAAGATTGCGGAATAATATCCAAGGCCCGCGCCTTGATGGTAATATGTCATCATTGGTTGAGATTTTGATCCGAGTACTGGAAGCTGGTCCCGGTTGAACAGCTCTGCGTTGTCTCCCTGCAGGCCCACAACATCCGGAAGTGCCGTTCTAACCCAGCCAAACCCGTAGAAGCGATGATCTCTGGATGGGTTGTCCAAGGGTACTTGGTTGCTCAGGATTGTGGGAACTTCCTTAAGAGGACCAGAGTATGACTTTTGTTCGGCAGCAAGAATTGCTTTTGCCCATGCGAGAATATCGTTGACGCTCGAGTAGATTCCCCCAGAAGTTTCGAATATGCTCTTCTGAAAAGGTATCTTTTTTGGCAGGGGGTAGGTGTCGCCGTTGTCCAGTGCTGCATGAGCAAACGCAAAGTCGCCGTTTGGATCTGGTCTTGTCGTTGTGCTGCGAAGTGATAGGGGAGTAAGCACGTGTTCTCGTAGGCAATCTTCAAATGGTTTCCTCGAGTATTCCTCCAAAACTTTGCCCGCGAGACTGTAGCCCCAGTTATTGTAGATCCAATCACTTCGAAATTGTCCGACCTTATTGAGGGTTGCGACCGCAGGCAAGACCTGATCCCTTTGGAGGAGGAACTCTTGATCACCCTGAAGAGCGATAGACATATCCCCGCTGAGTCCCGTTCGGTGCGAGAGGAAATCGGAAAGAGTGACCATGTGCTGTATTCTTTCATCGGTATTGAAACCAACAAGCAGATCCTTCATCGGTGTACTCCATTCGAACTTGGCCTCCTTGCCCTCCCCACGGACCTTTGCAAGACATGCGACCACAAAGCTCTTCGTCATGGACCCTATTCCGTAGACTGTATCGGGGCCTGGTTGGCGTGGCGTAACGTTGGGTTGGTTGCCGACAAGTCTTCCATGGCCCTGAGTAAAAATGATGTTGTTATCGTGGAGTATACCCACGGATGCTGAAGGAGCACCTGAGATCTTACACACATCGTCGACGATGGAGACAACGGATTGGAGACGATTCCGTATGATATCCTCCTGAGTACGAGGCATGATCATGGAACGAAAACAAACAGTGGGAGTGATAAGGGAGGAGAAACACTACCGAGAACTGGAGGACGCGTCCATGAGCATCGAGCGCATTAGCACCATATTATGCGCCTGTAGACCTTGTGCAGCACTACTGGTAATGGGGTGATTGGGGTATCATTAAAAGAAAAGCGACCGACGAGGCACAGCCCGGTACGTAAAACGTGGCTTGATAGCTGTTGTCGTAGAATGTGCTTCATCTGTTGGGCACGGCACTGGTGCACCTGCTTAGTTACATGGACTTATCTCCATGGATGAGAGTGGTACTTGATGGATAGAGGAGGGGGACTTCCTGTATGTAATTTACAGGCCTACTAAAGTATACAAATACCTACAACCCTAAGCCTACAAGAGCCCGTGCAGGCACCGTGCAGGATAAGTACCTTAGAGAAGGTTCACGGAACCCAGCGAGTATTGTAAACTCAAATTCCCCGCTCCCCAAACAAGGTAGCTTTCCCACCGATCAATCACACTTTCCGTACATTCAAGTCATTCGAGCGGAATAGCGCCACCCTTACTGCGTACCATACCCCCCTGCAAACTGACATTGGGTAGCGGTGTCTGCGGTGACACAATCCCAAACACAAGCAAGCACACCGTAAAGGCAGTTCTGTTTCGGTAAATATTGCATTGTTACAGAAATTAACCATATATCATACCGTCTACACTAGACGGAAAACGCCCGTACATACCTCTATGCCAATTGGACATTTAATGGGGCTTAGTATTACATTAGCACCACCTGGTACCGTACCAAACGGTGGATGGAACGGTGCAATCTAAGGCCCGCCCTGATTGAGTGCACCATGAGCAGCGCTCCAGGGGTCGAAAGTTTCAGCTGGTTGCAATGCAAGCGGAGCGGAACTTTGAGACTGGTAATTACCACGAGCGCTTTCCGTTTCCCAGCGTTAGGGACTTCAAGTGGCTAGCGTCTTAGTCGCCAAGAGGTCGTTATCTGAGTGCTCACACCACCTCTCTTTCGGAGCTTGCGACACCTTTAACCCTACCCGTATGTACCTCGGTACTTACCCGAATCTCAATCTCGAGAAGTTAGGTATACGGTACCTAGGTATTGTGTAGAGGTAAGAACGCAACGGAAACGTCTCCATTCCGGACTGCTCTCCCGCATTTAAGCAAGCAGAAAGAATGTTGGTTCATGTCCTCTTCTTCTTCGTCGTCGTCTGTTTTTTCTGGCTTGTCTTAAGGGCATGGGAATGTCAGCTTTTGCCGTCCTCTGTTCCTGTTTGCGGTAAGTCATCCTGTGTCACCCATGTTATTACATTCCGAGGTCGCGTTCCTCCACTTTCCTCAAAGCTACATTCGCCATGCTCACTTCTGTTCCCCTCTCACGTCTATCATATCATTTGACTCGGTGGTCCTCGTTACTGTTCGTTGCCTTCAGTTCCCACCTAGCCCGTACAGCATCCTCTACACTAATGGAGGGTCAAAGCAAGAAGTGACTGTGTGCCCGATGACCTCTTGTCCGCGGCAAGAGGGCTTAGCAAAGTGGTGGTGTGCAGCAACATTTTTAAGCTTACCCATCGGGACGACGATTGGCAACAAAGGTCACACGTTGGTATGCACTATACCAAGACTCTGCCGTGGAGGGCGCACGCCTTACTTCGGTCAACGATAAGAGTTTCAATAGGTGAGTATGGGACATGAATATGCCGTCCGCAGATTGAATGAGGCTCGGTGGCCGAATGGGAATCAATTTAATTAATATATAGTGTTCTCGGGGTGAGGTTTACAATGAGTTCAATATCTTGGGCAGCGTCAATCATCGGTTGCACATTTTTCACGATAAACGGCATACGTCGTGTCCCAACTGTGGAACGCAAACGCGCGATTTGTATGAGCGAACACCCGTCCTACTGACCGTAGGTACGCATCATCGGAATTTTGCATTCACAAGCCGGAAGCAACATGTCTCAGTCAGCAGCAATCCACCCAGGTGGAACGGATGTAGCACTTGCACCTCGATCTTCACGGGCTCAGGATGTCAAGGACAAGGCGGAACAACTCAAAGCAATATTGTGCCTGCGCAACATTAAGGTTACCGAGGAACCCCTGGATGTTTTCATGACGAAACACGCATGGCTAAAGCCGAAATGGTTGGACAAGCTCCAACTTGTTAACAACAACATCCAGACATTCTCCAAGGCTGTTGGGACCATCTGCCAAGCCAATGGCATTGCTTCTATGGTAAGTTTCTTCGCAACATGTTATGATTGTGATCAAGAAATGACATTCAAGGAAGACGAGTGAGTGCTGATGGTATTTCTTGATTACACAGGTATGGGGTGTTTTGAGATTCATCGTGGATGTAAGTCAGTTTCTGCTATGCCCATGGACAGTTCACCAGACATTCAACGGCGAGACTGACAAGCACTCTATGCTTAGGCGTTCGGCAGATACTTTGGTCTTTTGGACAAAATCATCGACATCTATGATGAAATGGCGCGATCTTTCTCAATGTTGAAAGACTACGCGAGGCTTTATGGCACGATTGTGGAAGATGCTGTCTTGGATATCTATTGTTCCTACCTTGATTTTTCAATCAATGTAGCCGAGACTTTTGCCCGCAATCCACTGAGTAAGACCTTTTGCTTCACTCTTCCAATCTGAAGACCTCACTGACAGCAGGGTATTACCCTGACACAGAGGTCATCTTCAAGATGACAGCCCGCTTTTCCCCTATCGAGCTGACCCTAAGAGACGGAGCAAAAAAGATTTGCAGCGCGACTCAATCTTTTCAGGATCAAAGGGACCTCATCAGAGACAAGATTGCTGTCGACACCTGGAAGAGAGTTGACACGATAGAGAAAAGATCAATTCAAGGACCAACAAGCCAAGAAAGCCCCAAGTTAAAAAGGATCTTCTCGGTCTCAAAGCCTCAAAATGGAAAGTTTTGTGGGAGAAAGGAAGTGTTTGACCAACTGGCCCGCCACCTGCTCCCGGCCCAAGACTCGCTGCAAAAGTCGTGCACGTTACACGGGGCACCTGGTATGGGTAAAACCCAGATAGCAGTTGAGTTTGCTTATCGATGTTGTGGAACCTTCCCGGAACTCCATATCTTCTGGGTTCCTGCCGAGGATGAGACCGTTCTTTCCCAAGCATTTTGCAAGATAGCCCGGCTTGTTGGAGGGCAGCAGACGGAAAAGGAAGTTACAGATTCGGCAAGACTTGTTGAGACTGCAACTACCTGGCTGCGTGAAAGTGAGTTCTCGAATTACTCTGCGGAAATAATCTGAAGACAACTTGCTCACTCCCTATCTCGCAGATACGTCATGGTTGATGATCTTCGACAATGTCAACAACCCCGACCTCTTCAAGAAATTCCAACCATGCTGCAAGCACGGCTCGATTCTCGTCACCAGCCAGTATCAGAGGACAATACGGGCCACGACAAAAGAGATACTTTTGAAGCCCTTGACACCCCAAGAAGGTTCAGATCTCATCCTCGAACACATTCCCGACCATCAAAGGCCGTATATGGGAGACCCAAAATCGCTGGCCCAAATTCTCATGAAAATGTCAGAAGAAGTTAACGGATCGCCACTTGTCCTCGTTGGAATTGCGGGGTCCATCGTTTCTTCGGCAGTCTCGGCAGAAGGAGCCCTTAAGGTGCTGCAGGAATCTGGGAATTCAGGCAAGAGCAACCCCATTACGAACGGTCACTCCGACTGTGAGTACGACCGGCCTGTTGACTCTGCTTGGGATATGGCGTTGAGATCAGTTCCTGACAAAGCATTGACAATACTGAGGATCATGAGCATGTTTTCGGCGGATAACATTCCCGTTAACATTCTCAACCGGGACCTTCAGGGCAAGCTGAGTTTCCTGGGATACAAAGACCCTCTACGGTATGTACCTTCCGCGCCAAGCAGTTCACTGCAGCCCTTCTACACGGACAGTTCTACAAATGGACATCTTGATTGACATGCCTTCCCTGCTTCAAGCTTCCGTTATGAAATTCAGGCTCCTCTTGTGGAACGGTACTTGATTGAAGATGGTAATAAGGCGTCGCCTTGGTCCTTCTACGGCATCCATCGGCAACTGCAAGCAAAGATATTGCGGGATCTCCGATCCGTACCCGACCAGTATCAGCTCACCTTCGATCGTGCCGTGGCACTCATTGCACATGAATTCCCGCCCTTCCCATGCTTCATGACGCCCAACTTCTCACAGTGGCCATCATATGAGAAACTGGTTGCCCATGTCCTTGAGGTCCATTCGGGTTTCCTTGCTAGCGAAAGGAGCCAAGGCCAGGATGAAACCCCAAACGTGACTCCTCTTATCCCCAGCATGGCCTTTGCTGAGCTTCTTATTAGCGCTGGATACTACTTCTACGAAGTAGGTTTGGAAGATTCGTGTGTAGCGGTCTTGGAGACCGCCGAGAAGATTTTCCACGAATTCCGCATTACCACAACGGCCGAAGCCATCACGCAGAGGGGTCGAGGCCGTGTTTTTTGCGGCAATAAACCGATAAGGGAAGCACTTCTAGCACTAACCGAAAGCGTTTTTACCACTAAAAAAGGCTTCCGTCATCGCACTACTGTCTCGACGATCACTCCTCAACTACCAATTTACGCCAAGTCTCTGAAGCTCGAGACAAATGCCATTGCAGTAACTTGGGGCCTCACTGAGCAGGCGTGGGGTCTGACGGGTGCACGCGAAGCCATGAAAAAGGCAAAGCAAGTGGTCTCTTTGCGCCAGAAGCATGCAGATCTACCTGGACTTTCCTCTGAAGATAGGTTCGAAAGTCAAGTCCTGCTATCCAACGCTTACAACGACATTGGGGTTCAAATGCTTCACATGCACCAATACGCAGGTGCTATGGACTACCTCAAAAAGTCACTCAATCTCAAGACCAAGTTGGAAACACAAGGCCACACGTTACCGGCCCGGGCGTTCGAATTTGCTGAATCCACCAACAATCTGGCATTTGCAGCGCTTGGCCAGAATCTCGCAGAAGACGCTCTAAAATACAGCGAAACGGCTGTGGACTTTATCAATAAGGATGGCAGCCATGACAGCGACGCAACCCGCTTTTACTTCTGTCATGGGGTTTCCCTCTTTCTCTGTGGCCAACCCGAAAAGGCCCTGGAGGTGATGACAGAAGTCCACAGAAAGCGTAAAGACACATTTGGTGAATCGGGGCGCCAAACAAGGGATACCAACTACGCCATCAGCTTCATTCACTACTCTCAGGGCCGCTGCAAGGAAGCCAAGCAAGTTTTCTGCCATTCCTGGTCTTTATTTCCCTCTCTCGTCCAGCCAAAGCTCCTGACTAACCCAACTCAACGCAGGAAAGCCATCCAAGGATGCTTCATCAAACAAGCCAAGGGCATATGGCCCCCCGAATGCCTCACTCGCGCTAAGTACTTGGAGTCTCAGATTCTAAAGGCGCTCGGAGACCTTACCGAAGGCAACAGAAAATACGACGAGGCAGTCCAAGAACTGGACGGGTATTTGTCTGTGATTTTCCCCGATGCCCATGCCCAGAAGGCAAAATGTAACACCCCTGCATGCAGAGGCTATGCGGAGCTCATGGCTGCTGATGAGGCACTACGGTTTGACTATGTCGTCCCTTTCTTTGCGGGGAGGTTTGCCAGTACGTTGATAGGTGTTGGAATTCGAAGCGGTGCTGGGTGTTTCCCGCCGTTGGAGGACCTGGAATGATTGTGGACTTTGTGCTTCTTTATCTCTTCCTTTTCTGTCGTTTTGCACTCTTCGTTGGGGATACCCCTTACACTTCCTTGCTTTGTCTTTCCGTCTTTCTGCTTGGGGGTACACGGCACAGCTTTCTTGTCTTCCTGTTCACGTATTCCTTAGCATGGTTTTCCCATGTATCTACCTTAGGCTATAGAGTAGATGTACTGTAGCTGTCATGGAACAAGTTCTTTGCATGCTATCACTGCCGGGCTCTTCTGCCGCAGTCTCTGTTTTACCACGCCCACAGCAATGGACGGCTACAACCTGTCTATATTCAACTGGTACAACCTCCTCTTGCATATCTCGCTTCCCGTTCCCTTCTTCGCATCCTCTAACAGCGCTTCCACATCCCGTTCCGTGTCAACGTAGCGCCCACTCAAAATATCTGCATCCTTTCCCATGGCGGCCAGCCGCACACAGACATCTGCAAAGTCTTGCGCACGAGTTACTGCATTCTCCCCCCTCTTCCCTGCATCATTGATCCGTTCAACCATACGCCTCACCCTTTCACTCTCTCGATAACTCCTTTCATCCACGCTATTCTCTCTCTTCAGTATGCCTGTGTTAATATTCCCTGGAACAACAAAGAAATTGCGCACTCCCCTACCCCCGATCTCCTTCTCCAGCGTCTCATGAAACTTCAGCAACCCCGTCTTAGACACATTATACGCGGCCATAAACGGCACCGGCACCACCGCGTTCCTACTCCCTACGCTGATAATGCACCCGTCCCCGGCAGCCAGCATTCCAGGTAGGAACTGATATGCCAATGCCACAGGACCCGTCAAGTTCGTGGCGATGACCTTATTCCAACTTTCCATTCCGTCTGGAGTCTGGAACTCGATACCCGCCACGCTCGCCACCCCCGCGTTATTCACCAGTATCGTAACCGGCTGATCAACCCATTTTCTTATATCTTGTTCGAGTTGGGCGAACGAATAAGGGGAGGTGACGTCGCAGATGAAGTCCTGGGCGCGCTCTGACGAAGAAGAACCCGTCGAGGCATCAGGTGGCAAAGAGGCGGCGTTTATTAGCTCGGCAATCGTTTGGTCTGCGGCGGTTCCGTCTGCATCTGCGAGTGCGAAAAGAGAGGAGGGCCGTGAAGGGGACGTGCTGTTGCGGGGGTCGACACGACCGAGAGGGTGGGATCGTGACACACAAGCAACGTAGCATCCGGCGCGGGCGAAGGCGAAAGCGAGGGAGCGGCCGATGCCGGAGCTGGCGCCGGTAACGAGGGCGGTTTTGCCAGAGAGAGGGAAGGTCGAGCTAGGCAAGGAGTCGTTGGCTGGGTTTGAGAAGTTGGGAGGCGTGGTCATTGTAGCTTCCGTGAATTTGATGCGCTGGTGGTAGGAGCCTTGAGAATTCCCACTTGGGAACAAATTGGAAGGAATGGGATTACACGTTGGCTCTTGTAGTTCGGAATGGGATAAGAGACGGAAGGTTCAAACTCGCAGGAGCAACAAGAGGGGAAAGAGGCTATTTGGAGGAAAAAGCGACGATTCACATTGCCCGCGCGGGAGTCGCTTGTGTAACGGAAGTTGGCAGCTGGGGGTTGCTGTGCAGGTGGTACTGCCGGTACCCGCTTGTAGGAGTCCGGGTTTTCGAGCCGGTCCGTACCACTCGAGTGAGGCATTCGTCCCCGATTCGAATGGCAACCGGCTACTGACAGCAGCACCGGCAGACGTCGAAACTAGGACCGAGATTAAGTGGGCTCAAATGCCGAGGTGGGTCCCGGAGCCGGTGTGGGGACACGGACGCCTACTTCCCTGATCAGGAAGGGCAAAGCCGGAGTCGCAGGCGGCAGACATTTTCGACGGCCAATTGACAAACTTGCAATCTCCATCTACAACACAATGTCGAACCCCGAAACCGAGTACGAACGATCAACAACACCCCCCAGCGTTATCGACGACGACGATGACTGCCGAGTTTAATGAGCTGGCTCGACTCGTCACATCCCAAGAACAATAACGACGATTATTATAACCCTGAGCTCTCCCCTCCGGCCGAATGCCAGCCAGTGCTTGCAATCACCAGCACCGCCGCACCAATGCGATTCGATCGGACCAACAAAGCCCATTCTTAGCGTTGAGCCGCCGGCTGGCTGAATCTGACAGGCGCCCGCCGAACGATGGGATGGACTAGATGGGCAAAAAAAGCTAACATCGATAAATCGTCATTAGTTGCCCTCCAGGCCTCCAGCTGGGTGGACAACGCCGATCAACCCTACCACTCAGCGGCCGAGAAACAGTGGGAAGCCAACCGAGGCGCCGTTCATCGTTGTGCTGCCCCGCGAGAGTGTCGTCCAATCAGAACGCCGGAGGCCGCTTTTACACGCTGAGTGGCTTTGCTGGTCTTTGCCGCTCCGCCAGTGACGGTGTCCCTACTGGTCAACAAATCTAAAAAAGCATGCCCGAAATGGGCGAAATGGTTCTGGCTCTTGTTCACTCTAGTGCTGTTCCTGTGCTGACTGGACATGGAAATTTTTGCGGTGCGGCGGAGTCAGTGATATCGGGAGACTTGTCAGATCATGATGTAAACAATGGGCGGGTCCGGTCTCTGACCCTCTGCCGAACCGGATCCCGGAGCTCTGGTTGCACCCAAAAACATGGGGTGCGACCGATCGTTTATCTTTCCTAGCTTACCAGTCTGTTGGATTCTACCGTCCCATTCTTCTCTCTTTTTGTTTCTCTTTGCTTTTTGCCGGGCTGCTGGGCAGACAACGTTCATTTTTAACTTTCCTGCCTAGTCCAACCGTCTTTTCCATGTCGATGTGAGAACACATGGATCGTGAAGATATCTAACCAACTTCACTCTTTCAAGGTCATCATGTTTCGTTACTAGGGAGTTCACATAATCTCCAAATACCGGGTACAAGCTCCATTACAACAACAACAACAAACCGGGTACACCTTCCGTCCATCAGAAAGCCCCATCACCACCGTAACCATGGCTTCAGGTTGGACACTCGAAGACATCCCGGCCATGGTGCCGCCGGACGGTCAAATACCAAATTTTGTCAATCCGGAGACAATGCATCCCGTCGTCCTCGGAGTTGCCATTGGGACCATGGTGCTTATGGTCATAGCACTCGTCGTGCGAATCTTCACAAAGGCCTTCCTTCTACGACAGGTCAAGATCGAGGATTATTCTGCCATATTGGGCACGGTATGGACACCGGTCTAGCACATCACAACCATATGCTAACTTGGACGCAGGCCGGTATCATCCTTTGGGAGTCCATCTTCATCTATCAATCCAAGAATGGCTTCTCCCGTCATCTCTGGAACGTCCGCTTCGTCGACATCGAGAATCTTTCATACGTCAGTAAACACTCTCGACACCGAGTCTTGGCCAATTCACTAACTCGTCCCAGTGGAACTACCTCGCCGAGATATCCTACGCTTGCACCATGTTCCTCGCCAAATCATCAATTCTCTTCCAGTTCAAACGCATCTTCTGCCCTGGCTCCCAGCGAGATCCTATCTGGTGGTGCATCCACATCCTCCTGGTCCTTAACGCCGGCCATTCATTATCCGCCATCTTTACCTACACTTTCCAGTGCACGCCTCGCGAAAAGGCATGGAAGCCTTTAATGGATGGACATTGCATCAACATTGCAGCGGCCATTATCTTTGGAGGAGCAATGAACCTGTTTCTGGATTTGGGCATGTTGATTACCCCTATTTGGGCCATCTTTCGGTTACAGTTGCCTACGAGGAGGAAACTCGGCGTCTCGGCGGTGTTTGCCGTCGGTATTTTGACCTGCGCCATAGCCACAGTCGGCGTCGTCGTCCGCATTCCCCTCCTTTCCGACCCCGATCTAACATGGATCATCACCAAAGTCGGCATCTGGACCATGATCGAGTACTGCGGCACCATTCTCGTCGGCTGCATGCCTTCGTTCCCTCGCTTCTTCCTTTTCCTACAAGGCAAGGAGCCATCAATTACCAACAACGCCACACGTGGCTCTTACACCACCCGATCGAGACCGAAGACGGCCGGAAGCATGAAGTCCAACATAACAGGGAAGAGGCCATGGACAGGACACAGTCACTCGATGAGCACCAAGACCGTAAACTCGCACGCATACAAGGACTCGAATGCGACGACAGCTGTGGGGGTCGCCAGCCCTCAATCCCAATCAGCAAAGAGGTTGATATCCCCGACTCAAAGTATCACCTCCAGCAACACCTTTGTCAGCCCGATAAGCCCAATGTCCCCGGTCTACGGGTCGCCAATCAACAACTACAACAACTACACCAGCATGAGGAGAGATTCAGAAATTGGAATGGGTCTTCACGTAGGAGTAGGCATCGCCATCTCGACCGACCGTTACGAAGAACCATTTTCCAGCCCACCTCGCACTCCGCGAAGGCCAAGCTACGGCCACAACTACGGGGATATGGAAAGTGGTTATGGAGGATACGGCCCAGGACCAGGACCAGCCCTGACAAGGCCGCGACAAGCCAGCCACGGCACAATAAGGAGTAACAGAAGCGTGCAGTCACAAACGCAGAGATATCACAGCAGGTGGAACTCGTCGGTATCAGCGGTGTCGGACATGTCAGGATCATTTAGGAGTCGATATGGGATCGGGACGTACTACGAGGAGGCAAGTGGGGAGGATGATTGGTCGCCTTTGGATGGGCCAACTGGAGGAGGGCATGGAGGAGGATATCCAGCGACGGGCGGTGGTGGGAGGATTTAATGGTATGCTTTGCGCTGGACGTGAGCTACTACGCTGGCTGGACTGGACTGGAATGGAACGGAAGAAAGGAATGATAACAGACAATTTGCGGTCTTTCATTCGCTTTTTGTCGGTGTGCCAAGTACCGGATTTTGTACATACTGGATGTTAGCATCACTTGCTTTCTTTCTTTTCTCTCTCTTCTCTTCGAAAATGATACCCTCCTTTTCTTTTTTTTCTTTTTTTCTTTTTTTTGAATCTCCGGCTCCAGATCTGAAACCGAGGTGGTCTTCGCAGTGTGCTCTGACGAGGAAGTGAGTGCGTTTCCTTTGTCAAGTTCGGGATGGTTGGGTAGGTATGTAGATTCAAGTCTAGGTGTGGCCGCCTAGTAGTTAGAATAGAGCTCAAATCCGTAAATAAGGATTGTCGGACCTTGTATTGCGTGTGCTTCCGTCAGGTCTGGTGTGCAGCAAACAATAAGGATAGAAACGGAACTTTCGCAGTGGATAATAGGTACCGGTGATAATGAGGTGATAAAGATGTGAAACAACATACTCCCCTTCTCCTCATCTACAGCTCCTCCTCCCAACCAGCCTCCCAACCAGCCCGCCCCGACCGCAACCTCGACCTCGAACCTTCGCCCGAAAGCGCCGCCGCCTCCTTCGCCGTCGCCCATCGAGCTCTGGTTCCGGGAAGGTTTGGGTCTCGTTTGCCGGAGGGAGCTCCGTCCGGCGAGATGTTTCTGAGGGAGAGGGAGAGGATGCGGTTGGGGAGGGAGAGGATGCGGTTGGGGAGGGAGAGGATGCGGTTGGGGAGGGAGAGGATGCGGTTGGGGATGACAAGAGTGCCGGTGGCGGTGTCGGTGCCTTGGGATGAGGAGGAGGTGGATGATGATGAGGATACAAACGATGGGCGAGTTCGCGAGTGGAACGTTAGGATAGAGAGAAGAGAGGGAAGAAAGTGGAGTGAGGTAAAGGGGAGGGATAGGGATCATGAGAGAGTGTAAAGATATATTGTGAGGGCGGGAATTAACCTCTAGGGAAAATAATGCTTCTGTCTGTGTTTGGTTTTTCTTTTCTTCATCCTTTTTCTCTGTTGACAGCCCGCTTTTCCTTTCCATGTACTCCACGGGCCTTTTCCTCACCATTCAGCAAAACGAGGATACAGGGAGAATACTTTCTGTTCTTTCGAAAGAGCAGACAGAACGAAGGAAGGAAAGAAAGGCGTCACTGGAGTGACTTTGGTACGTACCTACGTAGCTTGACACACTGACAAATAAAAGAACAAAGTATCGCACCACGATTGGACAGCTGTATAACCGGGAGATCCTACTGATAATATGTAGAGGTAATGTGATGTTCTCTCTGAGGAAGGGTCCCATATAGTGAATCTCTTCTCGATCGAGGCAGCCTTGCTGGGGCCTCAAGTGGCTTGGGTTGAAACTGCTTTGCCAGTGTCAAGTCTCGGGGTGGGAGTCAGCGGGGTCGTGGCCGGCTGCTTGATGCCGGGCTTGGTGTTGGGAGCGGCCGACTTGACGGGCTCAAGGTCGGGAATGTTTGGTCAACCTTGGTGATTAAGTATATGTGGCTCTCAGCGTGGTTGAGTTCACAGATATAGAGCTAGTCATTGTGGTAGCACCAGAGATATATCATCCGTTGTTCGTCAGCTGGATGAAGTCGGAAATAACTGTCGAGGCGGTTGAAAAGCTCCATTACGTGGCCGGCTATTAAGGCCGAGATCCCGCTTTCCAACGGGGTAGATTGAGCGGTGAATAGGGATGATGCCGATGAGAAATCGAAGGGGTTAAACGACCAGATTAGTTGATGCAGAAGTTACCTCTACCTCTACCTCTAGACATGAAGGGAAGGACCTTGGCTTTGTCTGTTAAAAGCCTCAAGGGCTGTTCGAAAAGGGGTAAGGCGATGTTAGCATCCGTTTATTCGCTTTCCAATTACGCGATACCCTCCTTTCTTGACTTTGTAGGCTTTTGGTCGATTGAATTTGCCCTCTGCGCTTTTGTCTGACCGTATCTGACTTCTAATAATAGGGTGTAGCATAGACAGGGGGTCGGTTGGGTAAGGTATCAAAGGTATAACGCAGTAGTTGGACACTCAAGCCAAACGTGACAAGCAAGTTTCTTTGCTCCCTGAAACACCAAACCATCAATTTCTGAAGGTTTTTACGCCTTTTCCCTCGTTCCTTATAATATTCCGATGTCATGGCGAGTAAAGTTGCGATGAGGAAAGTTGCCGACGAAAGTCACTGCTCATTCGGCAAGCGTGCACGTACCACCCGAGTCGAAATGCAGCTGCCTGGATGTACGCGTGTACCTCTACATTATTATTTATCTGAGCCCCTCATTCTCTTCCTCTTGTCATTAGGACACGTACTGTCTCCATTTACGAATTTGCACCAAAGTTACTCCCACCACCAGAAGCGCGGCCTTCCAAGCTTGCAACACTGCGGACTCGCTACCTCACCCCTCCTACCGACGTACCTGCGTACCGACGTCCCATCCCCAACGTCAAGCGGGCGATTACCGATTTCGATTACCGAGTCGTACCGTTGCCCACACCAACCATGGCAGACACAGACGACCTCTCCCAAGAAGAACTCCTCTGCTTCAAACCCGCCCATGAGATCTACGATACCTACTGCCAAGCCGGCCGCGACTATGATTTGGTCGTCGCTGTGACGAAAGTCATCATCGTCATGCTCCTCCTTGTCGTGATAGGGATTTTTCTTTGGGTCAACGCGAAGGGTTGGGATCTCCCCCAGAAGAGGCGTGGAAATGATGTTGAAGGCCAGGCATACAGCGACAGAGATGCCAATACTGAAGCCAAAAAGGGGCATGGAAATGGGAAGGATATTCGATCGAAAACGGATACCGTTGATGGGTTTGTGGAGACAATCCACAAGTTGGCGGTGGAGGGGAAGATACCCTGGGAGGCATATGAGGTCGTGAAAAGGGTTCGAGAGGAGCAGGCACGGGGTGCCACGAAAGAGGCTAATGGTGGTGGGTTTAAGGAAATCTTGACCATTACGGCGGAAATAGCACGGCGAGAAGTGAAGGACAAGGACAACAAGGCATAAGAGGTGAACGGAAACTTGCGGAGGTGGGCAACCGTTTCGGTACATGTTTGAATGTATTTTTCAGCAGAGCAAGTTCGTGCTCACTGATTCCAGTCTGTCCTCCCGCTTCTGTGGCTGGCCATGCCATTCCCGACTTCTTATCACGGGGAGACTTAGGGGAAAGGACTTGGACAGGAGAGGCAGCCGTTCATGGAGAAGACTGACCCCATGAGCGCTGAACCGATCACCTTACCTATCTACAAAGAGAGTATGCAAGGAGAACACTGCTATTGTGCCCGAGCCAGTTACGCGCAATGATTCACCACAAGTACACCAAGAGCTACTCAACTAGCAGTTCAAATATATTCGTCCACGCGGATCGCTGTCTCCTGAGCCCGCCTCACATACGGCAACCAGCTCGACTTGAGATACCGAAAAGACCTTCTTCCTTGACGCAAAGCAAAGGACAGACGGCAAAGTCTACAAACTGAGAGGGCACGGCCGTCGTAAACTTCACCTTCCTCAAGTTCATATTCGTCGTCGACTCCCTGTTGCATCACCTGACTTCTCCCGCCCTTGAGAATTCAAGTCGGTTTTTATCCCGAGACAACCAACGCAGTTGTTTCAAGGCTGGGTCAAAAGGGTTTCGGAAGACCACCAACAGACATGTTTGCTGGGAGCGGCGGCGGCCAGTGCGGTTATTCTGCCGATGGTTAATACATGTAGGATCGGAAGCAGATGGGCGTATACTATCTTTGGGGTATGTGGTGTATGTGGGGTTCTTGCCGTTGTTGGTGGTTCTTATGAGGATGGTTGGGTATGAGGTGGAGGGTCGAGAAGAAGTGGAGGGAGGATGCTAAGAGGATATCTAAGCTGGCAGCCAGGCAGCCAAAGTTCAAGGCCGCCATCGAACAACCCGGACAGCGCAAGCACCACCAGTTCTGGGAATATCTTCCCGCCATCCTTGACGATCCGACTGACTTGGACCCCGAGTCATTCGAAAAGATGCAGGCAGGAATCCCTTCGGCAGGGGAAGTTTGCACGCGGCGTGAGGCGGTTTGCCTGCCCAGGGTCCACGATTGGAAGCAGGCGGGATGGGAGGAGAAGGGATGGGGGTCTCGTTGACGAGCGAGGGGAGGTAGTGGCCAGGTACATGCGGATTCCTTCTGCTGCGTACTCCATGCATGTGGTCCCGATCTTCGCCTCTCTGTGGGGGTTAAAGTCGTGGTTGAGGGCTGAGTCGTAGTGGTACCAGCCCAACTCTCCTTGGTCGAAGATGGTAAAACGCAGTGGTCGTTGATGCAATGGGTATGCATCAACACCGCTCTCGTTGGAGCCAGATGCGGACTTCAGGTCCGGTGGCCTGATGATGTAGGCAACTCGGTCGCCGTAGAACACGACGACGAGCTTGCGGCTGTTGGGTATCTCAGCTTTGGCTGGGATGTAGACTTGGTCCCCAAAACTTCGAAGCGTCCATCTCAACGCCGGTAGTGATGGGAGTCCCTCCAGCCAATTCTTGGTAGTCAAGGCGTGCTACATGTTGGCAAATCCCAGGGCCACACTTTAGGGTAACTGGGTGGCAAGCATGAGGGAGCTGTCACTCAGGTTGGTCCGGTGGCTTGGCGAGATCTTCAAGGGCTTATTTAATAACTGTACTTATATTAAGGCTGAGGAACTGGTGGTCAACACGGAACATTGCCCAACAGCATCCCTGCTGCCAGCTGGTACATGTAATGGAGGCGCAGCCTGGGTGATATATTTCTGATTCGAAAAAGAAGGCCCTGGTGGCCTCTACGGTCCAGGATCCGGAGGTCCAATAGGGGTGTTAACAACTACCGTTGTAGGTTGACCGAAATTGTAGGTATGGGATGGCCGGTTATTTTTTGGTCTAAAATACCGAGACATGGTCCGAGTACCTTAGGTAGAAGGAGGCACTGGGGCGTCTGAGGATTGGGGCAGCGGCTGGAGACAGCGGACTCTCCCGTTGTGGTTGATTCCTTGATATCTGGATGACGCATTTGGGTTTTGAAGGGGACAGAGGCATCATCCACATGACCTCATGCTAGTAAATAATGGAATCATCCGATCTCCAAGTGAAATATCTAAGCTGTTCAAGTATTTCACCGAGATATTATCCAGAATCTGACAAACATATCCATTGATCCGACGCGTCTTGGGGATATCTTTCACCGCTTCTTATGATATCGGTTGAAAATTTGCTTTTGCCGTCTTGAACTGTGTTTGCTCTTGCTTCCAACCCCTACAGGTACTCTACCTCTAGGGAAAGACGGGGACGGAAGAAAAATCTATACACGGGTCAGCCTTCAATGCAGAGACTGACCAACCCACCTGCTCTGGTCTTGACGCTTCACAATGCCCCCCTCCGAAAGGATCACTGATGATCATCCCGGTCATCTTCTTGATGATTACGGCCCTGAAACCCGATGAACACTTGCACAAGGGCGCCACGGCCGAAAGCATCAAGCGAAAATTTTGTTATATAGCAGACATGACCACCTTCATCAAAGATTATATCATTGCCCCTTTTCTCGCCGGTTGCGCCGGCATGCTGGCCAAACTGGCTGGCATGGCCGCGACGCTGGTGGTATGGTGGGCTGGCTCGCCATGCGGCCGCAGGGTGTCCCGGAAAGATAAACGGGCCCAAGGGCTTCTGGTGCTTGTTCCGGTGGGACTTAGCCGCACCCAACGCAGTATTGCCAGCGCGCCGGCCGTAGAAAATGGCCAACGCCTGGAAGATCCGGAACTAGTCGTCGACGTGGTATCCTCCCACGATGTGCTGATCCTGACCGCCGTGGCGATGGAAACGAGGACCTCCGAGGTGCCCCGGTTTGGTGGAGCACTAGCGTAGGGCGTTGAAATGAGTGACGATCCGCCCCGAATTCTATCTAGTATCACCAGTTCCATATAAGTCCATAGTATTTCTCCTTGACCACAAGGTCATTCTTGTCGCAGCGTGCGTCAGGGTTCGCTAAGTCGCCGCGGCGGACGGCGACAGTGTGGGTTGGGAGTTGCTCCCAATCTTCGAACTGTATGGCCTTAAGGACAGGGCTAAATTGAGAGTCTTCAAAGCCTTGTAGGGCATGGGTAAAGAGCTCGGTGTACGAGACGCCCGCAAGTGCTCCGGCTGGCCCGATCTTCTGAGTTGGAGAGGAAATACTAACTCTCCTCCAACACGTTGGCCGGGTGCGGTGGAGCGGCAGCCAACAGTCTCCGTCTTGTAGGGTGCGGTGGTCTTGGTCTTCTTCTTGCTGGAAGGCATTGTGGGTGTGGTTGTTGGGTAGGGGAAATAGAAAGGAATAAGACGAGAAGAGGTGGGCTTAGTTGGGTTTGCAGCAGCTTCGCCTCCGACACCACCTTCGGTGGGTGCTGTACATGCAGATCGTGAGCGATGCCGCCATGAACGTCAAGGTGCGGAACGGAAATACGATGCCGTTGACCCCTAGCTTCTTTCTCTTTGGTTTACGCCTCATGGCCCCTCCCGAGTCTCGACATCACTCATGATGTGGCTCCAGTGGTTCCATGTAAATAGAAAATTCGGCCCCAGGAGGTCTGTCAGACGAGTCGCTTCCTCCGGTTGTCTCCCCGGCTCCCACCCCGGCTGACTGGTCCTAGCCCTCGACTCTCGGGTCAACTTGCGACTGCTGATGGTGAATACCCCAGGCAGATACTATGTTGTTCTCGATCATGTTTCTGAATGATTCAATGTTAGACGGTTGGCTCCCGGAGATTGGGTAGTTGGAAGGGATAGGCGGATGGCGTTGGATCTGGGAACTCTGCCTCTTCGAACCGGACGGACTGCTCCAGCAGCCTTGTTGACGCCTGGTGTCCCCGCGCAACCCAAGAATCCTCTCCCTCTTATCCTCCTCATCCCCAAAGCACCTAGGAGAGGCCATATAGGCACTCTTCCTTGGTGTTGACATTGATACCTGTGTCCACATGCGCACAATGGTACGCGGCGCACGGGAACCAGTCGGTTCTTCCACTGATCTGGTGATCCCAGTGCATGACAGGCGGCATTCAAGTTCGTTCTGCGAGACCTTGAGAACGCTGGTTGTACGGAAAGAGCTAGGAGAGGTACCTAAGTATATGGGAGAGAACCCCATTCTCATAGTTGCAACGTTGAAGACTCCGGATATGGAAGGCTGTTGTTGCTTTCCGGGTTGATGGAAAGGGCGGCTGAAGTTCTTCTGGAAAGCGGTGGGTAGTAGTGAGGAGGGAACATAGAATTGTTCCAAAGCCAACTAGCTCCTGAGGGTCGAAGGTGTAGTCGTCACCGTACGCCTTCAACCTAGACCGGTGCTGAGAAGCCTAGTCAGGCATGACGCTCTTGACTTTTGGCGCTGAGAACGCACATGATGAAAGAATGTCGATGACCTTCGGATCCGTTCTACAGGCAAGTAAGTGCCTCGATATTGGCATCGCCCTGAGATATTCGCCATTCGCACAGGCTCGAATGAATTCCACGTCCCCAAGTCGTGGCGGCCAGTGATCCAGTGAGCAGCGCCGGACATGAGTGTAGGCTGGTGAGAATTGGGGACCTGGGGGAAGGGTGGAGAGCCAGGCAGGCGGAATGTGGTGGTGTATGGTTCTGCTGAATGGGCGGCAGCCATTGTTGCTTCGCCGCTTGGCTTGGCTGATGCCTGCTTTGGAGGGCTGGAGTGGTGTAGTTGGTGTTGGTGATGAGGTCTGGGAGAAGAATGAGAACCGGAAAAGTTCAATTGGCCAAAACTCTCGTTGACTTCTTCTTCTTCGATACTGTCCAACGCGTTGTCAATTTCCTTGGCGTGGTACCGTCAGTCAGGTCAATGGCCGGATGATCGTTGGTCACCGGGTTCGGATGCGGTGGGACTTCGGAGGAGCATGCGTAGAGGAAGAGAAGGGAGGCATTGTGATGCGATATCCAAATGTTAATTAAGCGATTACAGCGAGAACCAGAATTGGCGGTAAGGAACAGCTTTAAAAGCAAAAATGCATACAGAAAGAACGCAAAGATTGGTTGATATTTCGGCGAAGTTGAGTTGTCGTCAATTGCGAAGGCTCCCTCACTCCCCAAAGCGACTGCCAAGCCATCTTATGGAAAGTGGGTCCACTCAGCTTTCATGCATCACCGCAAAAAGAACTGCAAAAAGAATATACAGAAAAGATCAACCTCCTTCGGTAAGGATCGAACTTACAGCCTCCAGATTAACAGTCTGACGCGCTAGCCAATTGCGCCACGAAGGATATTGGATGATGATGCCCAGCGAACTCCATTTCGCCATGGATTGGACCCGCGATTTGGCGCCGGGCGACTTTGTGTACTTGCATGGTTTTTGTTTGGGGGTTATATACCCACACTCTTACACTCCCACAAGTCGTCGTGATTCGAAAATGTTCCTCGACACAGAAGCTGCTTTAGCAAAACGATGTTAGAACCAAAACATCACCACCACATACATCTACGTTACATTACGCTTGGAGGGATCCGTGATAAGGAGAAAAGGGTGCAGATCTGTACTCTTTCGTCTCCTTTTCTTTTTCGCTTTCTGAGGAGTGCTTTCCGTTTTACCCGCGTGTTGCACTTGTGCGAAATCTGTCTTGAATTTTTGTTCCTTTCGCCTCTCTTCGCATCATTGTCCTGCGACACCACCTCTTGATGCACCGACTTTTGCTCAATGAGTCAAGACATGAGGGATCTTCACGTCTCTTTTATTGCATTCTTCATTCTATGCAAAGCTCCTCCGATGCAGGTACTTCCTCTCCCTGGCGATCCTCTCCCTTGCTTCCACCCATCTGCCATCTGTTCACCTACCGAACCGAACCAGCCCGAACCGTCCGCAAGGGGTGGCGGGCAGAGTAGGGCAGATATCGATCGACCAATCTTCTTCAAAGGCTGCAGAATGAACAAAGATCCCTCCGTCCGATCGGTAAGGTACCTGCATTGCGGCTTGCTTGAGGCATAACGGTTCCCAACTCTCACCTTCTCCTTGAACCACCTGAGCGGTTTGATCCGGTGCCGGTCTTTGCTGCATTTCCACAGCCAGGAAAGACTCCAGAGGCAGGTGAAGTATCATCGTGAGGAAAGGGCAGTAATTTTGAATAGTACTTATCATTCTTATTCTTCAAGCTATCAGAAAGCTCAAAAAGCCCAGAAAGCCTAACCTAAGGTAACCTAGCTAGCTATCATCAATAATGTCCATGTAAAACCCTAGCAAGCAAGTATTGTTCATTTGGAACTCCAATACTCCGTAGTCCGAAGAAAATCGAAGCAAATAATCATCCAATCCATTCATGATATGATATATCCATCATTTCCATTTCCACATTTCCACATTTCCTTCGAGTCAGGCATGAATAAATGCCTTTTAATCTCCATCCATTCCCATGTAGCAAAGCGTAGCATAGCCTTTTGTAGCCTTTTCCAGCTTGGAGGCAATATGCCCCATGATAGGTAGGGAGAACTGTTATAGACATGAACCGTACAGTAGTCTATACATGTATCGAACCATCATAGTCCGAAAATGTCTTCACGACATGATGCCGTAATGCCGTGATTGACGAAGGCCGTCTAACGAACGACCGAGGAGGAGGTTTCATCCCAAAACCACTAGCATTCAGCAATATCCACCTCTCCCAAAACACTCTCACGAACCGGCGAGGACGGGGCGCTGGCCTGATCCTTGGCGCTCTCGCTCTCCCAGAGCTCAAAGCTCTCGCCCGTGCCCTCGATCGGCTCCAAAACCGCAGCCTTGACCGGTCCGTCGTGAACGCCCATAATGCCATCGATGCTGGCCACATCGTCGGAGTCGCTGCAAGAGCTGGTGTCGGCCTCATCGGCTTCGTCATCTTCGAAGTTGTCGACGAAAATGTGGGGAATGTCGCTGTGGGACTTCTCGCTGTCCTCCTCTTGTGCCTCGTCAGTCTGAACCGCGGGGCCAGCAACGGACGCGGCAACATCATCCTCATCACCGGGCACCACAAAGAAATCCTCGTCATCGGTTCCTTCAGGCCAGAAATCTTGGCTGTTCATCTCCTGCAACGGACCCCTGTTCTTCTCCACCATCATGTCATCTGCATCCGAACCTGCACCTCGTGTCGAAGGAGTCCGTGCAGACTGGGGAATCTGGCTGACATCATCGGTAGGCGGCACGTTCTCCTTGTCACGTCCCTCTGCGCATTCACGCGTCTCGCGCTTTTCGGTCTCCTCGTCACTGCTGATGTCAAGGACGCAGGTGCTGTGCTGCAGGAGGTTGGTCATTTCCTGCTCGGGAGTGTCCTCGTGGATGTCGAAGAACCAGTCAGACTTCATGGTCGAGGGGAAGAAGGATTCGGTTTTGGTGTTGGTGGATTTTGTTGACTTGGTCTCGCGAAGGCCGCCGAAATAGCTGGGAATGGTACCCATGAGGGCGGCATCGAGGGAGAAAGGTGCAGAAACGCCTCCAAATGATGGGGGCTCGATGCGTTGGGTGCGGCGCTTGGAAAGGATACCGTCCTTCTTGGAGCCGCGAGTGGGAGATCGGCCAGCGGGGGCAGTGAGGGTTGTGGAAGCGGCAATGCGAGTATTGAGACGAATCTGCTGAGACTTGGCTTGGAGGATGTGCCTAGGCTGGGTGGATGTGTTGCCGAGAACCATCTTTCCGACAGAGGGGACTGGTGTGCTGGCCTTCTTGAGGACATACTGGGAAGGCTTCATGATGTAGAGGTGTGAAGACTTTGCCCGCTTCGAGAACATGCTGGGGTCGACATTTTCGGCATCGTCGAGGGGGTCAACCTCGGCGGCCTTCCTCTTGGTAGAGAGGGCTAGAAGTGGTGTTAGCTAGTGCATCGACACAACGACATATCAAGCAGACCGATAAAGGGACAAAAGCGGAAAAGATCGAACAGACGAGATGCAATCCAGATGGCAGCAGAAAGTAAAGAAGACGAACTTACCATTCTGTCTGTTTTTCAAACTCGTCAGCCCCGACAACCTCCCCTCATTAAGGGGAGCAAACGGTTGACGACTAACGGCAGCCATTGTAGTTTGATGGATAATGAAATGATACTGTCAGGGGGGAAGAAAAGAGAGCTGACAGCTGCGGAGTTAAAAGAGTGTGCAAGGTACACACGAACGCCGCGCGCTGTTTCGCGGAAGCGCGGTAGTGTCGGGTATGACGGAGTTGCCAGGCGTGGTTCCCGCGAATCTTCGTGTGGGTTTCGCAGCTGCTTCGCGTGCTGTGAAGGAGGAGCGGGCGTATCTAGAACAGGCACAGAACCCGAACCAAAAGAAATGGAATGCAACAGGTACAGGCAAGCGCCGAGACAAGGGGGGCAGGGCAGAGACAGGGGGCTTGGCTCAACGTGCCCAGGAGAGGAGAGAGAAAAATGCGGGGGTTCTGTATATGGTTGATGTTTGAGTACAGATCCAACCGTTGGACGTGCAGAATTGCTTGATATTCTCTGCCACGGGTTGTGTCTTTCGGCTTGGTCTTGCTTCCGGATGGGATGCAAAGAAAGGAGTAATATATTCGGGATTGAGAAAGAAGAGTAGGCTGTTGAAGAAAAGCGAGGAAGAAGAGCGAGAAGACGTCCGATAGTCGAGGGATGCGATCGATTCTTATCGAAATCCGCAAAGATGAGTCTGTAAATCGGGCTGTGTGTTCTGGTGTTCTATCGGATTGGTGCGACGGTCTCGTCCAATGCGATTCGCTGTATGTTAAGGCGCAAGTTCAAAACTGCTTTGGCTTTTCGAGATGGTGGTGGTCTGGAGGTTGAACGTCAAGCAACACCAATACAATCTACGACTGCATAACTGTTAGCGCAGTACTTGTGCAATGGATGGCTGCCTCTATGTTCTACGTAGCGTCGCAACGGGAGGTTTCCTCCCCGAGAGACATACTGGAGATACCTGACCGGCTTGATATTACTGTCGGATTGATCTACAACCAATTGTGTGTTTCGGGTACGTCGGCCTGAAAGTCGAGTGTCGCAATCGTTGACACTGGTATCCTTCTGTCGGGCAACAGCTACAAGTTGCGAGTCGGTGATGATAGTTGGATGTAGTTTCGACAGTCCAATTCGAGAGACGTCGACAGTGGCGGACCGGCGGAAATCGGGACGGATTGAATTGACTGTCGGGTACCGAATGACTATGCGAGTCTTGTCGAGTCAATATCGTACCTCGATGTAGGTAGGATGACTCGTTCGTATGTCGTATGTCGGCGACCGTAGATTAGGCGACAAGATATTGTCGATGCAGCTCACGAGAAGGAGGCTTCCGGATAGGGCAGGGGTGAAAGAGCGAAAAATAAGGTGATGGTGGATTGAAGAGTTGTGGAAAGACTGGTCACCGACGGTCGGGTAATCGGTGTTACAACTGGGCAGCCAAGTCTAGTGAATTGGTCGAAGGGACGGAACCTGGAACTTGAAGTGTCCCTTCTCTCTGGTGGATTCTCAGGTTCTCTTCCCCGTTCTTTCCTGTCCTGTGGCTTTCACTTGCAGTGCGGTGGAGAGGGGAAGGCTGGACCGAACCTGAAGAGCCCAGACGCTGACGATGACTGTGAAGGGCCACTGGTCCGTCGGCTTCCAGTGACCGGAGAACTTGACTGACGTGCCTTTTTCGTGCTAAAACACCATTTCTCAACGCGCGCCGTCGCCACTTTCTTCCAATCAGAACGTGCGACGGAATCGCGGGAAGCGGAGGAGAAAGAGGCGTCTAGAGGCGCAAGCCACGTAAGGGATCGCAGAGAGGTCAGTGTCATCCCTGAAACCACTTTAACAGACCTTAAGAGAAGAATGCGCGCTGTGGAAATTTGTTTAAGTGCCTGCAGATAGTCTCAGTCCTTCACCCCTGTTGCAATCGCCGTCATAACTGAACCATCCCAAGTATTTCTTTTAAGAGCTTGCAGGTGAGAATTGGAGGGTCTGAAATCAGATTAGGTTGTCCGCCGATCCATCCATCAATGTTGGTGAGGTATCCAATGCGCCGTAGAGTTGCAGGACCTGCAGAGTCTCTGAACGAAGCTCCCGTCTTCAGTTTCGAATTTCTGCCCACCATCTAGACATTTCTTGTACGTACCGTGCATCTCTGGCGCGCTGCCGTACAAGTTGAGTGGCCGCCTCCAAAGAAATCAATTAGCTTGTGGGACCAATGGCAGCGCGTGGTGCCTTCCCGCCTCACACCTCCACGCCCGCGGGGAACACCGCACCGCACCGCGTCTTAGGCCCCGCAGGCATTAAAGTGGTTGACCCACACCACTTCTTGTGCGCGGCAGGGATCCTTCAACCTTCGCAAATGCGGCCCATCGCAGACATGTAAAAGGGCAGCCAGTGTCTGGACTCTGGCCCGTACAATTAATGCAGCATTTTCTGGTCTTTTATCAGGGAGTCGATATCAGCCCGTTGAATTCCCAAACCCAATGCGCCCTTCCTTTTTCGTCATCGGGCAAAATGACGTCGACAGGAGGCTGAAGGAGAGAAGGAGAGAATGTTCCATTCTTCTGCTTGACGAAGAGCAGCCATCCAGGCCGTAGAGGTCCTCAATCTCTGGGTTCCGACGATGGCGTATGCTTCGGTCAGGTCAGCCAGCAATGGAGGGCATCATTTTCTTACCTATGGCGATTGTTGTACAACGACCTGTTAGCCAAGTTCAAACATGAGACTCCTCGAGACTGCTTGTGGTCCCCTATCAGATCTCGTCGCGAGCCACCAATTCACGAGTCCTTGTACTCCTCTAGCACCAAATCCTGCGCCCCGAATGTCTTTTGCGTGCTTCGAGGTGGTCTTGACTCTGCTGTGCCGTCACATTTTGGACAGCGTTACACAAGATCTCGTTGAACCGGTAGTCGATCCTGATACTCGGACAGACTTACCTACTGTGTGGTGTTCGAGGACATTTTGAGTTTGGTCGACCTGGAGTCGGTATGCGTGTCTCGCCCGGTCCTGAGGTCAAGGCGTTATCTGCAACCACTTTAACGATATGCAAGCACTTTTTAACACTGAAACCGACCATTGCCTCCCCAATGCTCGGTGTTGCGGCAACAGCTTGCCTTGTCTCACTCTTCACAAATCTTTTGGAAAGTGGCAATGCTGGTACTGCTATCCCTGATACATGTCTGGGAAATTGTGTCGGTATTACCCCTGGGACGTCGAGTTCTTAATTGGATGGTAGGTATCTTCAACCATCAAATCTGCTGGGCAAATGGCATGACTCTTTGCGTCTCCAGGTTGGACTTCATAGGCTGGAGGAGCGTTCTCGTGAGAAAATCCAGACTTTATGTATTCAGAAAAAGGGTACTAGCAGGTAATGTTAATTAGGTGGCTTTTTTCTAGAAAGATAAATAAACTGCGTAGTGCTAAGTGGTGTCCCAGATGAGCCGTAACGACATGTTCAAGGGGAAGGGAGGATTGTGGCACCCAACCCTAACCCTGATTGCAATCAAGCAGGAAGACGCCCCTGAACTCCCTCTTTCGCAATGACAACGAAGTTTCGAGTACTCCCGTGTCCATAACTAACATTGTTTCCACCAGTGAGAACTGTAGGCCTAAGTTTTGTCTTAACATCTGTTTGTACCGCACCAGTTCCCCCAAGAACTCATGGGTAAGGCTAGGGGATGATGTCCGCTTCACACAGTCCAGCTCACCTCCAGGGCAAAGGGCACCATGCAAGCCAACCGCTACCGCACTCGTACTTCCCCGTGGTAGCTGTAGTGTGTGCAGAGCAGTGATGAGAGGAGCACCCACTCAAGCCATCTCGTACCACCTGGCGAGCCCCGGTTAGCGCTCCCGAGGACATGGCTCGCTCAAAATGCACGTCTGGGCCGGTGTGATAAGCCTCGCAGCAGCATCTCTATGCGATCTGGGCTTCGTGGCACCTCTGCCGGACCTTCCTTGTCCTCTGCTGAAGCCCCAAGCTGGTCCAATTAACCTTTCATCTCGAGTTTTTAGTCTCGTCCTCCTGTGGTTGAGATGCGATGATGCCCAAAGTTCTCCTGGGCCAGTTTCATCACTTCAGTCACGTATTGAAGGGGGCTGGAGCAGATAATATCTCTTAAGAGTCCAGCAGCAGCAGAGACAGTCAACTGAAGGTGTGCCACGAAGCGAGACAGAGACTGGGTTCGCAGTATGCAGACCTGGAACTCGATAATTGTGGTTGAGGGGTGCATAAAGATTCGGCGTGGATGGATGTCTTTCGTCGCCCGGTCGGTCTGGATGGGAGAGTCCTATTTCCGGTGGCGAATCCCAGCATCTCCGACTGGTCTCCGCCTGTAGACCACCGTACCGATCCTCTTGCGTAATCTGATACTGTTGAGAGTCAGGCAGAAGCGGGGAGACTTGACAGATACCACCATGTGGTTGGTATTCAGACAGTCATGGCGCCGTCGGGATGAGGAAGTGAGCCCTGGGATCGCTGCAGGATGGCGTACCCACCACTGGAGCAGTGGGTGAGCGGCGTTCCTTGTCTTGGTTGCCGATATCCTTGGGCAGAGCGTCTCCGGCTGGAGAGCTGAAAGCCAGTCGGTGTTATCGTCGCCAATTTCTGTGCTCAGTGGACGACAGCGAACAGAACATTCTATGTACGTCCTCCTCGCCGAAGTCACGGCCGGAGCTTTGGAAACCATCGAGTCTATGGTGTTGCTCGTCCTTGACGACGGCCATCAGGACACGTCATGGCCGTAGGGCCGGTGGATGAGGAGAAGGACACTGAAGATGCGCCGGCGCAGAATCTAGGCCTTGTCAGCGGCAGTTTTCATGCAGGACATCGCAGATTTAGAGCTTACCGGGTATGACAAGGAAGGCCCTGGGAGGGTGAGAGATAGCTCGGGATAATGACCAATGCAAATACTTTGCTCAGTTCAAAGCCCAAGACACCAAAACCTCAAAGGTTCTCGCACTGAAACTCAATGTTCATGATCGGTGGATCGACGCTGTCAGATTGTAGCTCGCAATAATGGTGGTGCCGAAGAGTGAGTAGGTGACGAAGGCCATACCAACTGCACAGGGACGTTTTTAGCAACCAGGCGAATATTCCCAGCCGTTCATAGTCAGCCCAAGGTACTTGGAGATTGCATGACTTCGGCGGGACGGTAAAGGATCACCTTGCGGTTGCTTTCATCAGTTTTGGGTACTTGAATGTTGCTTGAATTCTGTACTGGGTCAGCACTCGAGGACAAAACGGGTTGAACGGTTGGAACGGCTCCAAATATCCGTTTTGTTTTAAACCGCTTTCCCACTTGGAATTTTCTCCAAACATTTTCGGATCATATCAACGGTTTCATGACTCGATGCGACTTGGAAATGACAAGTTTTGCTCTAGTGACCGAAGGACCAACACCAAGAAAGGCAGTCAAATCGTGAACAATGTGCCTACGGAGCTTGCCAAAACTTGAAGTCCATCCGCAAACAAGGGTTTCGACATTTTGCTGACCAGTCCACTGCAATATGTGTCTTCTGTAGAAAAGTCTGGAACTGGTACAACACGGCACAAGTTCAACCATCACTTGAGGGTGAACTGGTATCGCCAAGCTCGTACCTGGTGGCTGGAAGGTTCGTAGAGCTTTGAGCGTTGGAAGTCGACGAGCCAGGTTGTTTCTGAACTGCCCTGGTGACGAACAATAGAGATTGGCTGTGGAATTCAAGAGGAAAAAATCGAGGAAGAAAATGACCCCAAATCTGGAAATTTGCTGCCCTCATCGTCAGGCGTCAAGTCTTTAACACCGCGAAGGAAGTCGCAGTGGAAATATCAAAGCTGGTAGCTGCGAGACACACCGCAGCAGTAGCCCTGTCACTGCTCCATAAATCGAATATCATTATATCTGAACGTCGGCGGAAAGACGTGTCAAATTGTTAAGGCCATAATACTGCGACAGGCACATGCCCGCCCGAGAAAGCGGCTGCCCAGTGCGCACCTTCCCCTAATTGTCCACTTACAACTGCAGCTTCCCTTCCACCCTGGGCCTCGCGAACCTTGCTGTCCCACTCCATCCGTCGCATCACCAGTTCCATTGAACACCATCGATTCAATCCAATATTCCCTCCCTAACTTCCAAACCCATAATCCATCCCATCTACCCCCTTCAAGCCCAACTGCCCACCTCCCATCCTCATCGCCCCCAACAACCCCAGCAACAACACCCACGCAATGGCCTCCACATCCACATCCACAGACCCAACACCTCCCTCCCAGTATGGCGACAACACCAACAACGGCATCGTGCGCGGCGCCCTAATAGTAGTCGAAGGGCTCGACCGCAGCGGCAAAACGACGCAAGTCAAGCTTTTGGAGGAACGATTCCGTAAAGAAGGGAAAAGGGTCAAGACCATGCGTTTCCCGGATCGAACGACGCCCATCGGGCAAATGATCGATTCGTATTTGAAGAGCCAGGCGCAGATGGAGGACCATGTTATTCATTTGCTGTTTAGCGCGAATCGGTGGGAGGCTGTGTATGTTTCTTTCTTAGTTATTCTTCCCCTTCTTTTTTCAATACCCTTCGGTTTCCGTTGTCTCGTTCTATTTCCTCGTTCCATCTTCGTTCTCTCGTTCCTCCTTGCCATGTCGCCTCTATCATGTCCCCAGTCCCCATTGTACACTGCTCACAAACCAAACGAAGACTAACACCTCGGGATCAACAGAAAAACCATAACCACCGAACTATCCCTCGGCACAACCCTCATCCTCGACCGATACTACTACTCCGGCATCGTCTACTCCGCCGCCAAGCAGAACCCCTCCCTTTCCTTATCCTGGGCCCGCGCCCCCGAAATCGGTCTTCCACGCCCGGATCTCGTTCTCTTCCTAGACCTAGACGAAGAACAAGCGCGCTTGCGGGGAGGTGGGGAGATGAGCTTTACGAAAGGGCAGAGATGCAACGACGAGTGAGAGAACTATTTTGGGGTCTGTCGATGGGAAGGGTGGGGACTGTTACTGTTCCTGCAGGGGGGACGGCGGCTCTTGGTGGTGCTGGGACTGGAGGTGGAGGTAGTGGTGGGAAAGGAGATGGGGAGGTGAGTAAACGGGAGGCGGTGTTGCTTAGCGATGAGCCAGCGGCGCAGGAAGAGGTGGCTGTTGGTGCGCCGACACCATTAGCTGGGTCTGCGGGCGGGCAGCATATTGCGAGGGAGTATGCGTTTAGGCAGGAGGAGGAGGATTTGCATGTTGTTGATGCGAGCGCGAGCGTGGAGGAGGTGGCGGAGGAGGTGTGGAGGGTTGTAAGTGCGAGGGTGGAGGTGGTGGAGAGGGGGGAGGTTGGCAAGGTTATTAGGAGGGTGTTGTGATGGCGATGAAAAGCTTCGTTGGCGTTTAGGGAGTTCGGTTTCTGGATATTGCGTATTAAGCAATTGTTTGCCTTCGACAATGCAGAACTCAGAGCTGGAATCATGAGCCTTTTCACCACATGAATGAGTCCAAGTACAACGACGAGAAGATAACAAATAATCACCTGTATTGGGTATCAATGCTCCTACTCCTTATGCTATCTGTTCGTCCTTACCATGGTATGCGTTCTAAACGCTGTGACCCCCTAAACAAAATAAACAATGGCCATCATGCCCCTTGAACGCCGCCAACAAATAACAATGCCACTAAGACTCCGCCATCCCACGTTCGAAATCGCGTCTTGTCATCAGGCGATGTGCTCTAGAGTAGAGCCCGCCTCCTCACACATTCAACGGAAGATCCTCCTCCCACCAGTTCTAGTAGGGAACCTCTCGACACCGTTCTGCTGCTGCTGATACCAAATCAGCTGCATGCCGACACCACCACCCTCGAAGCTTATTTTATACCGACGCAAAGCCTCGCGGAGATGTTCCGGACGTAGCGGACCGCGACGGTCGTCTCGCTCCTTTTCTTTCTCCTGCTGGGAAGCGTCGGGCATGTTCTCGTCGCTCTTCTCGGCCGCCGGATCTCCGGCTTCTGGGTTCTCGCCATTGGTTGTCTGGGTACCATCTCCTTGTGATTGTGTTTGCTGTTGCTTTGGTCCCGCATTGTTGCTGTTGGAAGCAGCCGCTTGATGAGGAGTCGCCGGCGGACTAGGCAGATCAGTCTGTTTCTCCTCTGTCTTTTCGATCCATTCTGCTTGCACACGTCGTGCGCCCTCGATGATGTCGCCGATGAAAACCTTGGCTACGGCTCGCATGCCGATAACCACGTTTTCGGTCACGGACTGGGAGATGGTTGCGTTGATCAACTGTTTTTGGCAAAGTCAGCAGACACTCTCGACCAAAACCAAACGGGCTAGGAAGAAAGGGGAAAAAAGAAAGAAGAAAACATACCCTCCTAACACCAGCCTTACTCAAATTCGCCGCCCTCCAATTCTCAAACCGATCAAATTGATCCGCCGAAAACGCATTAATCAGCATGCCCCTCTGCCTGTGCTCCTCCTCCTTCTGTTCCTTGGTCAACGTATCCGCCGTAGCCGCCACCTCCGTCGGGCCCTCATCATCATCCTGATCATCCTGTCCTCCTTGTCCCTGTCCCTCTTTACCCGCGGCAGCAGAACTCTTAGCACCTCTCCCCACAGTCGACCCACCACCAACCTCACTAGGCGGCGCCGTCCCCGGCTTCCCTGAAGTCCCACCAGCACCGCCAGCAGCAAGATTAGGCGTCATCTCCCTCGCCTTCTCGGCTTTACTTTTCCTGCCGCGCTTCTTCTTGGGCGGACCGGTGGGAACGGTAGGAGCGGCGCTGGCACCGGCTGCGCTGACGACCGATTGGCCCGTGCCGCTGACGTAGGACATGGCGTCTATGTCGACTGAGGGAGAACGCGCGCCGCCACCGCCGCCGCTGCCGCCGGGGGCTTCATCAGGTGGAAAGGAGGTTTGGCGGAGAGGGTGGGCGGAGCCGATAGACATAACAGAACCTTTGCGGCGCTTCATGTTGGGTGAGGGACCGCCGTCTGCGGCGCGTTTCTTGGAGAGGGAGGAGGTGGTGAGGGAGGGCAGGTGCGGTGGGGAGCGGGCGCCGCCGGCGAAGGAGTAGTTCGGTGGTGAGGCCATGGTGATGGGTGGGATGTGGTCGTGTTGGTTTGGTTTGGTTTAGGTGTACGTATTGCGAAACCGCGGGGCGAGTTGGCAATTGTGGTGGTTGAGCTCAGTTGGTGTTGGAGCGGAGACCGCTCTGTGACGGATCAATTGCTTTCTTGGCACGAGGGTGATGTCGTCGAAGTAAGTTTCGGTAGCAAGGGATCGTCGGTGACGGAGCGGGCCGTGGTTCGTTGTTGGCGGCGAGATGATGGCGGGTTTGGTTGTTGGTAGGTCGAAATGCCGTTGGACGGGGAAGTTCTTTGTCGCGGTTGCGGTGCTGCGCGGTACGTTACACGTAATTACTGCAATTGCAACCCGTGATCACGTGGAGCAGAGCATTTGCGGTGACGGGCAATGGCAACGGACGGGCAACCTCCTGTCCTCCTGCTGTCTGAGCGTTACCTGTCAATTCTGCAGAGAAGCTGAAACATCACTACAATTAACCTTCACCTCTAACATTAGCACTGAGCCGCTTTAGGTTCAATCCGATGTTGTTAACTAACTTCACCACGCGAGTGTCTGACTGGCTTTCCACCCGCCAAGCACTTTGCTTCCGGGAGCAGAGTGTGTAACAATCAACCTTTGTTCTCTCCGTTTATCTGATGGTTATTATATATACTCCAGTGACGGGGGCTTCATAACCCTACGATGTGTAACATTCAGATATCCTCGTCCTTGTTGTCGTCGCCGACGGGATGTCTTCACTGGGACACACCCAAGTGACGGGCCGGCCCCGTTAAACCTACCCTGTGGAACCCTCACCCGAACCTTAAAACGACCCTTTGTGATTCACTTGATCCTCTTCCTTGGCAACCGTTAACCCCATGAAGCTTTTTTGTTTCTAGTAGCCTTTCTTTCTGCAATACCAGACCGAAATGCAGCAACTCAAGATGCAGGTATGAAATTGCTCCTGGCCCTCCACCAAACCCAAGTGGCCAAAGTGAAACAAACCGATTTCATCATTCACCCGAACATCGCTCGTTCGAGGTCATGTTTATCCACAGTAAAGTCCACTTGAACCCCGACAAAGACCCATTTCGTCCCCAGAATCAGTCCAGACCGCAGGCTCTGCCCTTGCAGTGAATTTGACGTCAACGCCGATAAGATAAGACTAACAGGCCTGGTCTGGTCTAGCGCGTCTAGATCCCCCAAAATCTGTTGGTTGCCCTCCTGGAATCGGCGCTCAAAATTTCCACTTCCTCCGCCTCCAGCCGCTGCCCCAGTTTATTTTCCCCTTCACGTTCCCTGGACCAAACACACGACTTGCCGCAAGAGTCAGGACTTTCCTTGACCACGCCCACCCCTCCCATACTTTAATACTCTACAAGGCCCACCTTGTTCGCAATCGATTGTTGCAAAGAGTCATCTGTCAATTGACTTACTTCTTCCTCTCTTTCTTTCCTGCCACGCAACTAATTGCTATCTCTCTACAACACCTTATACCTACCACATATCACAAACCACTTCCACATTCACAATGGCCCAAGAGAAGACACGCGACGACTCCGACAGCTCCTCGGGCTCCGTCGTTTCCCCCGCTGCCAATGGCACCAACACCACCAAGAAGGAGAAGAAGAACAAGGACAAGTCCAGCAAGAAGCGCTCTCACCCTTCCGGCGAGAGGCGATCCAGCGTCAGCAAGCCAGCGCGCGACCCATCCGACAAGCCCACCGACGACTCTCCCTCCAAGAAGAAGAAGAGAAAGACCTCTGCATCTACCATCGCCGCCGCCGTTCCCCCCACAATCGCCGAAGAAGTCTCATCCTCCACTTCCGTGACCCGCTCCCCTTCGCCCGTCATTGACTTCGATGGCCTAAGTCGCCCTTCGCGGGGCACGCGCGAGCGTCTGGAGGAGACCGAAGCCCAGAAGCAGGAGCGTTTGGACAAGATGAAGGGCGCCGTCCGCACCCTTCTCGAATGCCTCGGCGAAGACCCCGACCGTGAGGGTCTCCTCGCCACGCCCGAGCGTTACGCCAAGGCCATGCTCGATTTCACCCAGGGCTACCAGGAGAACGTGCGCGACATCGTCAACGGGGCCATCTTCCAGGAGGGCCATAACGAAATGGTGATCGTCAAGGACATTGAGGTCTTTAGCATGTGCGAGCACCACTTGGTGCCCTTCACGGGCAAGATGCATATCGGCTACATCCCCAGCAACGCCGTAATTGGAATTAGCAAGCTGCCTCGCATTGCCGACCTGTTCGCGCGCAGACTGCAGATCCAGGAGCGCTTGACCAAGGAGGTGGCCAATGCTATCATGGAGATCCTCAAGCCCCAGGGTGTCGCGGTTGTCATGGAGAGCAGCCACTTGTGCATGGTTATGAGAGGTGTCAAGAAGACCACGAGCAGTACCATTACCAGCTGCGTGTTGGGCTGCTTTGAGTCGAGGGAGAAGACGAGGAGCGAGTTCTTGAGCTTGATTGGTGTTAACCGTTGAGCTTGGTTCCTTACAAGAGAGGGAGGGGGAAAGCGCGTCGTTCTTCGTTCGGATATATACCCCGTTGGTTGAGCGCGGCATAGCAGAATGGGAATGAAGGGGCTTCTACCAGGAAGGAGGGAATGAAGGGATCAAACAGAAGGAATCAAAAAGTGAGGAAAAGTACATAAGGGGCTCGGGCTATACATACAGGGAGGATCTGCCTCAACGGCAAGCCATCTCTTCACATATTCTTTTCAAGCATGCAATCATCTTGCATCTCAATTGGCGTTCAAGGGGGGTCATTCAACCGGACAAAATATCATAACAGCGAGGATCTCAACATCAGGCAGGCGGCGAAAATCTTTTTTCTTAATTACAAAAACATGGCTGGCATGTCTCTTTGTCTATATAATCTCCATATATCATCCCCTTTGGCGTTCGGCATGTTGGCTGCTTTCAACAATAATGCATCCACATTTTTTTCATGGCTGGATTATTATTGCATTTGTCGAGAGCAGAAACGAAAGCAAGAGATCGCTTAACAACTTTGCTATCCACGGGATGCACATGCGTAGAATTCCAAGGAGGTACTTCGATACACTCAACTCGTAACCGCATGGCTTTACAAAGGATTACGGACAAATGATCACATTACTATCTCTCACTTCCTAGTCCCAGCACTTTGAGTATCCCCAACTCACTACGTTCTTGTCCTTCGTTAAAATTACCTGGAAAATTTATGTATTCGTTGTCGTGGCACCATTTGCTTCCCTATCTGTTTTCGTCAGTACTCGTAGAACTTCCTTGAAGACGTCTAACATTGACACACCTTCATCCATCCCTCAAGTTTCCTATTAAGTAGAACTACGAGCGGCATCAAAACGCAACAAAAAGAATCTTGGATTGCTCATTGCTCCATTCGGTGTTTAGATATTGGTGTAAACAGGCCCCCCTGCTTTTTACCATTGAGTTTCCCTTGATGTTTGATCAATCTTGTTTTTTGTCTTTCTTTACATCCCCCATATACGTACATCAGTTCTGACCCCATCGCTGTTCACCCCAGCTAGCTATGATATTATTACGATGTTAGCAGCTGCAATTTCCAAGAATTAAGAGACGGTGATTATTCTTGCCACTGGTGTATACCCACGCTTTTCATTTTGTGATGGCGCCCCGCGTGTCGAGTCCGAATTCTCCCCTTCCTATCGCCAACACCTATCGTTTTTGACACCAAATCCTTATTCATCGCCATGATGTGCAAAAGAAAAAAGAAAAACGCCATGTTGTTGAACAGAGTGTGAACTCAGTGTGAAAGAATATCAGATATTCTGTCAGTGACGGGCAGTCATTTATCGTCCTCTTGACAGCATTGACCACGACGCGGTTGCCTACCTCTACCATGTATGATCACAATCCGCATCAGATTTTTGAGCAGTGCAACGTCGCAGTTCGCTCGCTCTCAGTTCGTGAATATTAGGTAGCGGCTCGAATTTGGGTATTGTTGTTTCTCTCAGTGCTAGAGGTACCATAAACCCACCAGGTCGTTCCTTCCTCACCGTTCTCCAAAATCCTTGTCTACCCATTCCCTAATCTAACTCACCCCATCCCTTTCTCGTGTAGGTCACGATGTTTCAAAAACACGTAGTATGCTCGTTGAGGTTTCTTGGCCTTCTAGTATTAAGGCAGTATGTCGAGCGTGACTGCCTTCGAGGAGAAGAAGAATGCTATACACTGGGGGCCTTGATGGCCAGGGCAGATTTTCACACAAACTGGCCCTCCTCACCCCGAGGGAGGTGACTGAGCGATGTTAGTGATCTTGAGTACTCTCACGAGGAGTCTTGACTCATGCCGTGTGCCTTGATAGTCAGGTCCTTCCAGACATGGAAGCAGCAATCGCCTTTGACCACAAGCATGACCACTGGAGCAAGGTCAGGCGAGTGACTGCCCTGGTCAACATCGTGAGCCTTCTTGGTGTCCTGACTACAGACAGGCGTGTTACACGAAGGACTTCACACCCGTAACTGGCCCCTCGAGCAGTGTCTACCTCAACCCAAACTCTTTTCCCTCCAGTCCCTAACCTCGCATCAAGGAGTGCTTACACGCCATTCCCCAGCCCCATCAGCCTAACAAGACGTCCGGACGAACCGGTACGTTAGCCATGCAGATAAACGCTCAGCTTCCCTTTCATGTACCCTGGCCATGCCATTCACCGACACACTCCATATCCAAATCCTCACCAACGCCGACAGCCATGAGCATCTGCCACCTGGGCCAGCCGATGATCAGCCACTCCGACGAAGCATCATCACCATGTTTCCATGATCGGTCCCGGGTACCGGTTGATACGACTCCGGAAGATGGCCTCTGACTGGGAGGAAAGGGGTTGGTGTTGATAGCACGTGAGTTCGCTGCGTCTTCTGGTTTCGGTGACCGTGAGGGTATCGGTTCGCTCTGAATTTTTTTTCTCGGTCTGTTTCCTTCTTTCTTTGCGGTTAGTTAAGATCTTCCAGCGACATCATGAACCATCGACCGGCGGGTATGCCGGGACTTGGTCGGGGCTCGTTCCCGAGATCTCGTGAAGGGCAAAGTCTTATTCAGAGCCTCCGATGCCTGGAAGCAAATCACAGAAACATATTGAAGGGACGCAGCAACATCTCGGATCGGATGCTTTCTGGTCAAGTCTGACGAACGCATATTGCCTCGGACAAGAGGCAACTTGCTGCTTTATTGTTGAGGGCGGGAGGCATATAGTGCAGGCTGGCCACCAGTGTGATGCTTTGGGCAGAGTGTAAAAGAAGTGTAAAGGTATGGGAGCATTGGGAGAGAATGCTGCTCGTACTGAGCTCGTAGAAGTCGACGTTTGTACGTTGCGGTAAATTCCGTCCATGTGCTTCGAAGTCCATCTCTAGCTGAGCTACCGCCTGCGAGCTTCACGTTTCTGATGATTTGTCCAAATCCATGCCACAATAGACAAAAGCTGACCACATCATGCAAACAATAGGAGAAAAGTCGTAGTCATTAAAAACGAGCATTGGTGAGCGAGACGAGTTCAATGCTTTGACTAACAAGATTCGGATCGACAGCTCGTTACCACATCAAAATGCGAGGTTCTACCGATTCCGTGCCGCAACCGGTAAAATTGAAGGAAGACACTCAAGCTTGTCAAGCTTTCCTCCAAGGTCGAAGTGCAAGCTTGGCCCGGAGCGGTAAAGCTTCGTTCCTCTCTGGCAGAGTTGCAGAGACCGGGGGCCCTGACAGGTCTGTGACGGGTTGGACGGGCGGTGTCTGTCGATTGACAGTGTCGTCGTGTGGTCTCGTGGAGGACGTGGGACAGTGGACGACGACGACGAGAGGACTTCTGGGCGGATCAGATGCTAATTGCAGTCTGGTTCCTCGGCCCACTAAGCGGTGTTCCTTCCCGGATTGGGATATAGTGGGCCGGGGGCGGGGGGTGGTGGTAGTTGACCTCCAGGGCGTCCGAATAGAATCAAAGAGAAAAAATAAGGCAAGTATAGTGGGGTAAACAACACCTCAATATACGAGGTAAGTCTATTTTCGTTGAAAGACTTTAGCTTAACTGGTAATAAAGGACCGGTTATACTATATAATCTTTTATACTTTATACGAGCTTTAGTAGGTCTGGCTATTCGTGTCTGGCTATCAGCGCTCAACTTCTAACAGTGTGCTTCTATTTAAAGCCTCTTTATGAGCTCGTTCTATAGCTTTTATTTTATTATTCTCTTTCTATATCTGGGCTATATTTCAGGCTGGGGCCCCGTTCTATACTCTTACTTAACATCTTTATTATTATTTACCTTTTTAGGGATTATAGTCTTTTATAATTTAGAATTATTTTTTTATTAAATTACGCTTGCCGTACCGCGGCAAATATTTTAAGTTGTAAATTTCATTGTTAGTTGTCTTTTAAGTATAGTATTATTATAATCCTTTTGTATTTACTTACAATATTTATTTAGTACTAGTTAGTTACTTTTTACATGGTTTATATACGAGTATAATATATAATTATTTCTTTTATCTTTTGTGTTTTTTATCTATAAACGTAGTGTTTTTATTTCAATTTGTTAACTAACGCTATCTCTTTTTTAAATATTTAATTCCTAGATAGTAAATTAATTTTATACAATATAGTCGCTTCTTCTTCTTATTAATTTATATAACTTTGCTCTTTTTTTCTCAACTTACGTAACTTATATAACCGCTTATTTTATTACTGTATTATATAAATTATATTATTACTATTATAGCTGTCACGGCGCTGGCTGGCCACTACACTACTAGACTATATTTTAAAAGAATACAAGTAACCAAAGCAGGCAGTTTGGTCGCTTAAGTGGTCTTATATAATTTGTCCCAGAAGAGGCACCCGAGTGCATTCTGTGACACTTATAATATTAAAATATTATTAAATTTTGTAATAGACTCTAAAGCAGAAAGTATATGCGGTTTCTTCATTATTTTTTATATTCTATTCTCATTTTTTAGTAATTACTATCATACTTTTCAAAGAAAGTTTCCAAATTTTTGTTATCCTTCTACTTTATATTATGAATTCTTTTACAAATATCTCTTTTGTAGTGTTCAAATTTAATATATATTCTTTTAGAATAAACTGGAGGAATTCATTCTATATAGCGTTTTTTGGAATTCTATCAAAGTCCTATAAAATAACCGCGAATATACGCTAAAAATTAATTAACTTCTCTCTTATCTAGAATTGAATCTATAGAATTTCTCAATAATTGCTAATACTTCTCTGGATACAATTATTATTCAAAATCCTTTTAATTTAATTTTTGATTTCCAGATTTATATTTGTGGTTGTTAATTTTCAAATTATGACAGGCTGGAGTGCATATGCCTAGACGGCCAAATCTACAAAAGATAAGACAATGTTCTGCTTGCAAAGCAGAACTTGGAATACACACTATATAGCCAATGCCAACCTGTAACACAAATGCTATATATAGGAACTTTCATATTCCGAGAACGGTTTTTCCTTCCTATCAATATAATTATTGAAATTATTTATACTTCGCATAGTATTATAATTAATTTATTAAGGTTAATTTCTTCAATAAAAGAATAATACTTTTTATTATAATACTTACCAGAACTTTTAAAATTTTCTTCATCACTTCATCATAAAGTGATATAGAATTATATTAATTTGAATATTGGAAACTACGTCCGTAATTAAAACTTTCCGCTAATTCTAAATTATAATGAAATGTTTTAATTATAGCGCCCATTCGGATTGGAAAATTTAAGTAGGGAGCGGGATTAATCCTGTTGATATACTAATATATTTGAACAGTATCGGAGCTAATATTTAATTCAGAGTTCTGATCAATAATATTCTTTTTATTAATATAAGTTATATAGCTTATATACTTTTAATATATATAAATAGTTAGTATAGTACTTTTTGAAATGTTTCTTTAATGAATTTCCTTATGCTGAAATTCATTCAAACTTTTATTTTTAAATTTAATTGAAAATAACAACCAGTACTATTGTTTTTGAATATTTTCAAATTTAAATAGTAGGAGTATTAGTGTCACAGGTTGATATTGGCTATATAGTGTGCATTCCGAGTTCTGCTTTGCAAGCAGAACATTGTCCTATCTTTTGAGGTTTGGCCGTCTAGGCATATGTACCCCAGCCTGTCATAATTAGTTTCTTATATCGCCGGGCCTCGTAATAGTTAATTATCGCCGTTTGGATAAATTTTATCATTATTTTACGGTTTTTTGCAAACCATTTTCGACCAATTTCTTTAAAGACTTTTATTTTATAGTAAGTTCTTTCAGGTTGCTAAAGTGTCCAGCAGTACGCCCGCGCTAGTATAATGTACTTTTAGTATAAAGATTATCTTTTTGTATACTAACTATATTTGCAACTTATATAAACAAGTGTTATAGAAATTTCAAAATTATAAAGTTATAGTATAATATAGTAAATGATATTTTAATATATAAAGTAAATATATTTCTACTAAAAGAGTTTAACTTAACTAGTAATAAAAAAATAGTTATACTACATAGTCTTTTATATTTTATACAAACTTTAGTAGGCCCAGCCATCGGCGTCCGGCTTCCAATAAAGCGCTTCCATTTAGGGCCTCTTTATCAGCTCGCTCTATAACTCTTATCTTATCGCTCCCCTCTTATCCCCGGGCTATATCCTGAGCCGGGCTCCTGTCCTATGCCCTTGCCCGATATCCTTACAAAAAAGCTGGGGGAAATTGGCAGTTGCTGATTTCGAGGTTTCTTGAAGGGCTGAAAGTCTCTCATGTCACTTTGGTCACTCGCATGTCGTTTCTGTGGCGCTTCTTCCTGGGCTTTTCCCCGGAAAATGCAGAGATGCCCGTAGATAGACCCCCGGGATGTGTGCATTTCATGATTTCTTCGAGACAGTTCACCAATCAGGTGCGAATTTGGCACCGAAGGTGAGTCGGTGAACATTGAACAATGCAAATGCAGCAGAGGTTGACCGCTGGCTGCGGACCGGCGAAATGCACAATGGGAGAACTTGAAGTCGACGTTGCGACTTGCGAATCTCGCAGCTGCCAAGGAAGTGCCAAGATTCCCCCGCATACAGGCCAAGCCGGATCCACTCACATCTGGGTTTCTTTGCCCTGTTTTATCGCCACTGATCACTTCCAGCTGGCAGTTGCAGACCACAGCAGTGAGCACAGCTCGACAGGCTCTGGGTTTCCTGGTTTCCAGCAGCAAAGAGGGAAGGAAAGAACCTCACTGGCGAGATGAGCCTGAAAAAATGGAACTGAAGATCTTCGTACGGCTCCAGTCAACCAAATTTATCATCGGCCCCAAAGACGAAACACACCAAAGCTGCAAGTACGGGCAGATCACTCTTTTTCCTGGGGTCAAGCTACAGCAGGAAGCGAAGCGGCCGACCTTGGTGCCATGACCAACCTGACCAGCTCCACAAGCCTGATCAGCTTTGGTCAGCCTGACGTTGGCCTGATGCGATGAACGCGGCGGCCCGCCCGACCCAACAGCCCAAAAACAGCAGCCAACAAGCTTCACGAAAGCGAGCGAATTGATTCCTCTTTTCGTTGCTCTTATTGGGAGACGTATTGAGTCTTTTCATCCCGAATGAAAAAATCAATTATCCGCACACACCACGACAGTGAACACACCACACCACACCACACCAGCCAGGAACAATCACACCCATCAACAACCGACACGAGCCACACTCCAGCAGCCCCTGGTACGAGAGCACTTCATGAATACGTACAGGGTGACGTCGTCAGTTCAATGAATCGAATGAATCAAGTGTGAATCTCGCATCTGGAACCGTCTCTAGCACCCCTACCCAACCAATCGCCGTCGAGAGGTAAACTCTGGATTCGCATGACAATTCCCCCTTTTCCCTTTGCGGTCTCCTCAAAGATGTTTCTTCTAAATCCAGCCATGGACATTCGCTACAGTTAATCCTAGTTAACCGGTCTCGTTCTCGCAGTCCATTTGCAGTCCGTTACTGGAAAACCGGTCGCCGATGAGTCGTCGTCGCAACAAGAAGTCATCGGTCAAAGTCATGGGTTGCAGTGTCCAATTTCCGAGCTCACAGTCGAGACCACGGAGGCCCTTTCGCTAGCTCCGGGCGCTGTTTTAGCATGTTCGCTGTTGCCCGCCGAAAATGCCCCTATTTTCTGGGGGTCAACCTTGGCGTAGGTCAGCGGTTTTGGTGGAGTGGATTCACCAAAACCTAGGTGTTGTTGCAGTTTCCCCTTTTTGTTTTTTGGCGCATCCCGCTATATTAACCACATCGAAAATGTTGATCAAGCCATATCAAGCCTCTACACGTGTTCCTTCTGTTGATTATCGCAGTGGCTGGTAAATCGCAATGTTCACCAAGGAATTCAGCAAATCCGATGAGGTGGACACCCGACCCATCAATCCACTTGTGAATCTCACAAAGAGATCCATTCTGCCCATGGGAAAAGTGGAAGTCTGATCTTCCTCATCTCGGTTTGTGGGACACATTCAATGGGACATGGAATCTGACAAGTCTCGTACCTTGCACTTTGCATTCCAAACCACCGTCACCATTCTCCCATGTGCGACTTCAGGTACATGGTCGGAAATATTATTGCTCGTGTCACCATGCACGGAAAAGGGTGTCATAATTTTAGGAATGGTTGGTCGGGCCTCCCAGGGCTGGTTGCCGGCCGGCCTGCCTGTGTCTGTTCTCTGTGTGTGTGTTGCCTTGGACAGGCCTCCCCCCTGAACCACACACCCACAATCTGCTCCACGATGCCGAGGCTGACCATGACAATCATATGCATTCATCCACTTCCCCAGATCTTCAATCCTCACCCCCGCGACTTTTGCTGTCAGCTCATCCCCAGACTTTGCTAAACCGCCCTGAATGGACGCAAAATATGTTTAATTGCAACACCATCACGCATGTCAACCGTCTGGGGATGCGTTCCTCATCGGGTCAAGCGGCCGGCGGCGATGGAAAAAGGACGACGACATGGTTACAATTCCCGGTTGCCGTCGTCCATGCATTTGAAATTAAACTTGCAAGGTACACCCGTTCAGATGTCTGAATCCGGGGGGCGAACCGGTCCACGCCGGTCCAGGAGTTCGTCTGGTTCTTGTCAGGTTCCTGGCAGGAACTCAAACTCTCAATCTGTCTGGCCGTCTCTTCCGCCGCCGTAATTCGCCCGGTCGAGATGGCCGATGGAGGGCAAGTGCTCAAATCGAACCAGGGACATGGGCAGATGGGCTCCATCTTGCTTAACCATTCACGGGAGGATCTGTGGCCTAGTGGAACTATTGCCTCCAATCCAGGGGGCCTGTCGAGCGTTCCTTCGTTCCCAGCAACCTCCCCCACAACGGGGACGACACTCGGAGTTCAACGCCGTGTGTGCACGCCAAAAAGTGGTAAAGTGCGAGGTGTGAATGTTACCTCTACCGAGAAAAACACTAGCAATTGGTAGGACCCAGTGGGATGCTACCGTTGCCAGCCACCCCGTCTTTTCCCACCCTCCTTTCTGGGGGCTTGGCTTGGGTCTTGGGAGGCAAGGAAGGAAGCTGTTTCGGTGGCTTTCTTTGACACACAGGCACACACACACAGACCTTCCAAAGCAAACTCGACATAAAAGGGGCCGTCATCCTCCCCCATCTGCAACTTCTCTTCTTTTCTTTGTCTCCCCATCCACCAAATACACACTCGCTTCTGTATTTCAGCTTCCAGCTCGACTTTCGTTCAGCCAAACAACTTATTACACCTAATAACCAACCTTACAACAACCTAATTCAAAATGAAGTACTCCGCTGTCGCCGTTGCTGCCTTCGTGGCCATCGCCTCCGCCCAGGATATCTCCATCATCCCCGAGTGCGCCCTTCCTTGCATCGACAAGGCCGCCCTCAAGGTCTGCACTTCCAAGGAGGACTACAAGTGCATCTGCGAGAACAAGGAGTCTCTTGTTGGCGCCGCCACCACCTGCGTCATCGGCGCTTGCGGTGCTGAGGTCGCTCTCCGTACGTTTTTACCCTTCTATATCTATCTTCTAAATCCCTTTCTAACATTTTCACAGAGGAGGTCCTCCCCGCTACCGAGACCTTCTGCGAGGAGGTCCTTGCCGGCGGTGACGCCCCCGCTTCCTCGGCCGCTGCCACCACCGCTGCCCCCGCCACCAGCTCCGCTGCTGCTGCTCCCTCCAGCTCCGCTGCTGCCGTCACCACCTCCGCTGCCGCTGTTGAGTCCAGTGCCGCTGCCACCACCCTCGCCCCCAGCGCTTCCGTCCCCGCTCCCTCCAGCAACGGCACCGTCTCGGTCGCTCCCCCCGTCTCTTCCTCCCCCGTTGAGGCTGGCGCCGCCGTTGCCGGCTACATCGGCTCTTTCGGTGTTGCCGCTCTTGCTGCCCTCGCTGCTTTCTAAATTATCCGTCTCGATGGATTTTAGGAGATGATGGGCCCGGAAGGGTGTCTCATGATGGATGGAAAGGTGGTTGGATGATACCTTACGACGGACGACAATTGGGAAATGTGTTGTATGAAACGTTGTTATGTGTACCGCAATGGACGAGTTGTTGTTGTGTCGGAAACTGAAAAGTTTTTATCTTGATTAACTCTGTACTGTTTCCGGTGGGTAAAACAGAACCACGCCGCCTCTTTTTGTTTCGGTTCTTTCTCGCAAGAGAAGGGGTCGTGACTGTGAGACGGTTGGATTCAGGAACAAAGTTAATTGGGAATAACTTTCACTTCAATTCCCCTTCTCGGTTTCCCTCTGCTTGATCTGCTTTGTTTCGCTGTGGAAGTGGTGAGCAATGGGGGAAATCGAGGAAATATTTAATATGATTTATTCTACCAAACTTAATTTCCACAGAATGCAATCGTGATCGTGAATATGCAAACTTCCAAAACCGCTCTCTAGTTGTGAGGAAAGCAGCATCAAAAACGACCAAAACAACCCCGATGTTTCGAATCATCAATCATGCATGAATCATGAACAAGCCCCCGCGACGTTTCAAACCGTCAAGCCCCGTCTCAATGACACAAACTGTCATAAGGTGAGCGAGTCAACTAGGAGTTGGTTTGAACGAACCAAACCATGTCATTTCCCTCACCCGCCCGCCCGTCTGACCCGCCTGAGCCAGCCGTCCTTCCAAGGCAATGCCATCCATCCACCATCCAATGCACGGCGGCTACGCGGCCTCTGCGGCTCAATGCCGCCTTTTCCTCCGCCCCCTGTCTGCAGCCCCATGCCATACAGGCGAGACAGGCAAGGTAGGTCGGCCGATGTCAGGTTATTGGTCGTGCATTTTGGATGGTGAGTGGTCGGTCGGTGACGCATTTTGTTTTCTTGCTGGCTTGGTCGCTTGATCGCTTGATCGCTTGGATGTCTGAAAACAGAAAAATGGGCGAATTGCACACTCGTCTTCTGATGAAGTTCCAAGAAATTCACTGAACTTCAATCCAGGACCAAACCGGAGAAGCGACAAGAGAGAGACCTTGGATGTTACACGTCGCTAACTCGAGCAAGCTCAGCCACCAAGGCGTTACGGCGTTACGATTGGGTTCATATGGATCTTGGTTGCTTGGTATCGAATTTCTGCTTTGCAAATTGTACATATGCGTGCATAAGGATGCATCGGAAACGGTTTAACGAGTTGAATTGAAGGAAGAGTATGAAGTGGTATCGGTTACCTAATGGGGCAGGTGCATAATGGGTTGTGGTTGTCGAACGGTTTGTCGAATAACGGTCTGCGGTCTGCAGAGTGCGGTCAGGAAATTGTGCGTTGCGTTGTGCACAGTGAAAAAGCACGACAAAGTGAAGGCATAAAAACCGAAAGCAGGGCCAAAAAGTAAGTTGCGACATGTGGACGTAATGGCAACATCGACTTGCTGGTTTGATGGTTGAAAGCAAGGTAATTGAGGCTGAGTGAACCCTCAACTCGGAGAAAAGTGTTGTATTGCCCACCATCGTGCTATCGGCATCATTGCGGGCGGCATTGTCAGCATGTCGGCAGTAAGGCAGTTTTACTTTGAGCAGCGTACATAGCCCGAGTATATTTGACCGAGCTTGAATCACCGAACCTGTGCTACCACCAGCTACCAGCTTCCAGTTACGCAAAAGCTACCGAAAAGCTCCAGTCCGACCGAAGAGGTGTCGTCGTAAGCTCAAAACGCCGCAAGCCGTAAGTTGAGAGGGGAACGGGGGAACAAAGACAGAGGACTGGAGCACTGTCGATCACTTCGTCCAACGCCACTGATGAGCCACAAATCCGTCGCCTGCGTGACGTACGTACCTCTACACTACACGTGTACACGCCGCAAATGTCTGCTTGGCGGGACTGGCGGGATGCACAATTGTACTATTTTAGGGTTTCGTGGGATTCAGCCTCGGGTGGCGTTCTGGACATTTGCACAAAGGGAAGCATATGAAGATGGATGAAGGCGGACTGGGACGGATGCATTCAATGTTCGCTGGAGTGCAAATCGATTGGATTGGATTGAGGAAAAGGATGAGACAATTGGCCGGATGTGGCTTGTGGCGTTTCTGGGGAAGTGTGTGTGTTGACTCAAATGCTTTTGGAATGAACTCCGGGTTGTTGTTGTCCAGTCAGTTCATCCATACTCAATAATCAATCGCGATGCATATACGTGTACTTGAGGTGGGCAAGAGCCGTTGAGAGCCGCTCGCTTCGACATTGAACATTAAGGCCTCTAGTGAATTGCAAGCGGAAGTTCTCACGCCAATTGCCAGTCCGTTAACCTTCTGGTCTATGAAGTCCAGAAAATTGGTAGGCTCGTAGCTCGGCAGGTATTCGATACTCGCTCGCACCATCGCAAGAACCAGCAGCCTGGTTCTGTTCAGGCTATTGCCATACCCTACTATTCTTTAACATCATGCTTCTGCACACATGCAGAGGTAATTTCGGAGCCATTACTCGCGACCAAACTTCAGTCGGAAGGTGATGTCACATTCTCATCTTGGAAGCAATGGAACAGCTTCGATTCGATGCGTGAGAAGCGCCGTGGATAGGAGCGCCGTGGATAGGAAAGCATAGGAAAGGGGCAATATAGCGTTGATATAGGGGTGTGCAGTAGTATTTGACTGGCTCGACTGGTTAGGAGCGGGATGGTGCTCTATGGTATTATGTAATGCGACAATACAAGTTCACGACTGGTGGTTGACGGGAGCTTGAGAGGTGTTCTGCGGGAACACAAAGTCCACGCAGAAGCAGCCAAATGAGACGCAGACGCAAAGGTTTCGGCAGGCAAAGGAAAGGAAGGCGCAACCGGCTGGCCCGGTAATAATGTGGCGATACAAGAATGCATCAGGTGGTTCCCTTCTTGGAACAACATTCGAGGAAAGAACAACGGATGGCGACATTGTAGGTGATTTTGAGGGCAGGACTGCAAGCGGTCATCTTAGCAGAAAGAAACTCACGGAAAACACCGCTGTCATTCTCGCGAGCTTTTGAGGCCCGATATCCGTGTCATTTTCCACCTTTCGTCTAGTTCGGGAGAAGGCAGGATAGGGGAAAGAAAAAGAGGAAGCATCATCATCCCCGGGTGACTATTCAAGGCTGTTTGCGTTTGAAATCAGCTCCCTTCAAGGTAGAACAAGCTACCATTTACGAATTAGTGACCTTCACAATCTCTTATTCACCTCGGTAAGTGAACGATCGTCCGGACTTTTCGACAAAATTTCTCGCGGACACATGTCTTTCCTCGCAAGAAGAACCATGGGGATTCCTCCACTGCTCCAGAGGAACACGTACAACACGAGCACACCTAGGGACCTATAGGAGATGAACGATCAGATGAAACGAGGGGGCAACGCCGGTAAGTACAGAGAAGGGAATGGAAGGACATCGATTATGGCGATGCAATATAGAAAAACCTACCGCGAAGAAAATACCATAGCATTAAGGCCAGTCCTCTTGTTAAAGTACCTATTCCTGTTACTCTAGCCACGCTAGCTCTACAAAGGTCAGTCATCGTTCTTGCTCTGGTTTTTCTACTATAAAAAACCGGACAGGAACGCTCGGCACGAGGGAAGATTGATGAAATGACGTGGAACTGGAAAATATGCTGACGATGCTTGCAGGAGGTTCAAGACGTTTGTCTGCACTCTCACTATATGTCTTCTGTTTGTCTTGGTATGGTATTAGAGGTATGTTGACCATCTAGTGACCTATTGACGAAAACTACCTACCTTTTGACAATCGCTTCGACAAGCCAGTATAAACATCCGCAAGTCTCCTAACGGTAAATATTACCTAGTGGGTGTAGCATTCGCACTGATTACAGACACTCAACTACCACGCCACCACCACCTGTACGCAATTAGGTAGCAATATGTCAGTCACAGAGCAATTACCATGTATAAAAACTGCTCTAAAGTTAAATACCCTTATCTCACGCGTCAAGAAACAATGAGCGTCCAACAATACAACTTATACGAACGGGTAGCGTACAACTCAGCAGTCATCACTAGCAATAAACAGATAATGCCAAATGATGCGATTTAACCCTAGTATTCGTCATCAACATTCTCAATGATCCGAGCCTTCAGCCTCGTAGGGCGGCTCATCAACCAGCCCAGACGTCACTCCGACCTAAAGCAAGCAAGCCTCTTCGGTATCGGGACCCGTAACACCATAGTGGCTTACCGGACCGAGCTGAGCCAGCTGAACTGAATCGATTGACATGGAGGTAGCCCGGAGCGGACTGGAGCTGACCGAACCCAGGAGATGATCGGAACTACATCAAGGAAGTGGAAAAACTCGCGTATTTGAGATCTGCCGTGTTCGAGGTGTGGAACAAAGACATGGGCCGATCAATAACCTCTGGTGAAGAATTATGGTGTATATAGAGGACTGGACTGCTCCCCTTTCGTCTGGTCTTTCTGTGCTTTTAGCCTTTAACAGAAACAGTGGCGAAGAGGTTAGAGGCACCCACACCTTGACTCGGATGAGCAACAGCAAAATTGCAGTCACAATGCAGCGTTGATTAAGTGATCAACAGAGATGAAGAGAAAAACAAACAAGGACTGGTCCGCTCGGATTATCATACTACGCTAGGTACATCTTTTCCCGAATCAACTGCCGTCAACACCGTCAACAGGCCAGCGAGACAACCCATATCATTATCCACCACGAGGTTCCACGCCCGACAAGCCACATCAAGCTTTCCACAACCGACGAGCGGCGTCCCTCCATGTACATCCAGAGACCAGACATCCATCCATTGACACCACATCGCCGATATGAGATCAGATACGAACACTCAAGCGGTCAAGCGCACCAGCATAGCAAACCATCACGGCCATCGTCCATCAAAGACACATGAACAAACGGAACACCCGATCCAAAGTAGACCGGCAGACAGCAATCAAACAAGCAGAACAAATAGGCGAAACAGGCACAGCGCGCCTTAGAAAGTTCAACGATCACTAGGGCTACCAGGATCTTTGGAGCTTCCCTCGGCACTACCGCTACCCGCACTGTCTCCGGCAGACCTGACGCTGCTACGACCAGAGTCGACGCCGGAACCCAACGCTGAGCCTGAAAGAGATCCCGAGCCGGAGCCAACAGAGACAACGGCAGACCCGGTACCCGAGCCAGAGCCTAGGGCAGTACCACTGTTGAATCCGTTGGAGCCTGAACCTGAGCTCGAGCCAGGGCCGATAGGACCGAAAGTTCCGTTGTTGCCGGCGAGTCGCTGCTGACGAGTTGGGAAGCCGAATCCAGGTGGTGCTCCGCGCATGGAACCCGGGGTGGCGAAGATGGTGTTCGCGTAGTTATGCTGATGTTGATTACTGTGTCCGTAGCTGAGTGCAAGTCTTTCACGTTCAAACCTCTCGCGTTCATCCTCATCAGTCGACTCGGTGAATCCGGAGATGTCACTAAGCATCGACGAGGATCTGCCTCTGGCTTTTCGTTGCTGAGCCGGGGTGCCAATGACCGCTTGCTGAGAGTGCTGTTGCTGCTGAAGGGGATTGCTGAACGGCCCTCCGATCGGTGGCGGGGGAAGAAGAGCTGCTGATCTCTGAGGGCCAAAAGATGACGAGCCAGACGTTGCGCCGGTGGCTACCGGCCAGAGTGTCTGCGCCGGTGCGTTGGCAAAAGTGCTATTCACTGCCGCGGCAGCGGCGGTAGCACCAGGAGGCAGTCCCCAGCCGGTTGCAGCATTGCTAGCCTGCGGGTACTGACCGCCAGCAACAGCCGCCGCATGGCTGTGAGCGTAAGCCATATCTTCCTGAACACTAGCCAAATAAGCTTGAAGCTGACTGCTCATCTCGCCGATCTGTTGCTGCTTCGCAATGTTCATGCTTCTAACAGAATTGATGCGGTCAGTGAGATGCTTCTCGGCCGTAGCAATGTCCGCTTCAAGCGTAGCGCGGTTCTGGCGCCGCCGTTCAGCTTCACCAAGGCCCTGAGCATTGGCATCCGTTATGCGCTTGTGCTCTTCCTTGACCTTGTTGATGCGTGATTCGATCTTCTTTTGCTTGGCTTGCAGACTGCTTCGCTCGTCTTTGAGGACCTTGACCTCGGATTCGAGGGTGGCTTTGAAGCCCGTGAATGCAGAGCGGGCTTCCTCAAAGCGAGCCTTCTCAGACTTCCAAGTGCTCTCTTTGGACCGGTATTCCACAAGAAGCTCCTCGGGGATGGCTTCAAGTTCCTTTAGTTCGGCTTCAAGCTGTGCAATGGACTCCTCCGCTCGTTTCTCCTGGATCTTGTTTTGGGCCACCTTCTGCTTGAGCTTGTCGTCATCACCTCCTGCTGACTGGACGGCTGCCGTGAGCTTCTCAATCTCCTTCTTGGCAGCGTTCACTTTACGGTTATTCTCCTTGCGCACACTCTTGAGCCGGGCCTTTTCGTCGGCCAGCTTGGTCTCGGCAGACGCAATCGAAGCCCTCAGGGTAGTAACCGGAGAGTCATGGCGGACATTGTTAACGCGCTGGTTATTAGTCGGTGCCTTTGCGGGTGCCTCGGGATCCCTACTCTTAGCCTGGACGGTCCTGACATTGGCCTTGTAGATAACCTGGTCGGTTCGAGTGCTAACAAATTCGCATGCATAGTTAGATAAGGGGGTAAGTCCGTAGATGTCGCCTGTCCAACGGGTGCCTTGGTGTCTGTCTTCCTCGGTGCCTTCGATAGGAATGATGCGTGTCGGTTGCCATTTGGCATTGTTGACTCTGACATAAAAGGGCTTGGCGATGCTAACGCCAGGGGTTCCAGCCTCGTCAACGGTGTCGTCATCAGGAAAGTCGGGAAAATAACTAGTGTTGAAGCAGACTTCGTCGCTACCAATGTAACAAATCCAAATCTGTTCCGGCTGTGTGTTAAACGGCGCGTTCCCTAAGTTGTGGATATCCGTAGCGTTGCTACCAGCTGATTCGGAAGCCGCATGGGAGAGCTCATACTCCTTCACCATAACAATTTTTGTGCTAGCCAGCGCAGCCCACAGAGGCTGCCGTATCCTAACTTGGGCGCTCTGCTTTCGTCTCTTCTTGTTCGAAACAGTACCCGCACTTGTTTGCAGATGGGCGTCGCTATCGGCTGCCATCAGCGCCGCGTCGGAGCAGCTGTCCGAAAACGAAACCGTCTTGCCGGCCTCCGGATCCAGTTGACTTTGTGACTGCAAATCTCTTCTTTCCCTACGAAGATACCACTCCCGAATGCACCGTACCAGTCCCTGTGTAAGAATGTGTATCGCTAAAACGCTTCTAACCCAGCCATACGGACCCTTTTTCTCGAAAGCTCGTACGGTATGTTCGATGGGATCACCACGACTGGTTGGGAAGAAGCGGTTCGTGCCAAAGAGGGTACTCAAATGGGTGAGACCATTCCACCTAGCCTGTCTCGTCCATTGGGAAGCCCCGATGATAGTGACGCAGAGGAAGATGGTGTTCGACGTGCTAGTTCTTGAGCTTCCGCCTCCTCCGAGGGTAAGGGATATGACAACCTGGGCCAAATCCAATATGAACTGCTGCATGGGAGCCCATAGGAACAGCCATATGCCCAACACGGCCACGTCCATACAGGCCAGCGTGGTGAGCGAGGGCGTGCCCTGGTTCCCGTCGAAGATGTCGGCAATGGTCAACCCGGAACTAGTAGTAACGGGTGGGACAAAGGTCAAGAGGGTGAATAGCATGTAGACAATGGCGAGGAAAGCCGGAGACAACTGCATCAGGATGATGAGGATGGCGATGGTATCGTAGATGGGACAGGATTTGAGGACGGTCAGGGCATATTCGACGGGACCAGGGTCACGGTGAACATTTGTGTTCTTGGCGTCGTTCACGTTGATCTGACGGTGGTTCTCCTCGTGGGCGGACTGCAGGGCGGGAAGGCGCGAGCGACTCGGCGACTCTGACTCGGAGTAGGCGCCGCCCAGGGAGCCACGGCGCAGAGACTCGGCGGCCATGGTGTTGTTGTTGTCGTCGGGCAGGACGGGAAAAGCATTGGTAGCAGTCGTGTTGTTCGTGTTGTTGTTGTTGTTGTTGTTGTTTTGTTGGGGGACTGCTGCGGGAACAGCATTATCGACGACAGCAGCAGCAGCAGAACGTTGGTCGAGGGCGGCGAGCTGCTGGTGACTCTTTTGCTGTTTGGGAATGCGCTTGCCCGGGCCTACAATGCCACCTTCATGTCTCGTGTCGCGCTGGTCTTTCGCACCCTGCTGTCGCTTTGCTGATGATGAACTGCGAGGCATACGCCTATGCCGACTCAGAATCGTGTTCTGAGCCAGCCGGGATACCGGTCGGGGACTGGAAATGTCGACGTGGTCGTGGTCAAGGCCGGGGCCGAAGGGGTCTCTCTCTCGGCGGACGACTACCTCGTGTCTGAGCCTCCCTCGGCGGACTGGCGTGGTGGCCTGCTGTTGAGGAGCGGTCGCCAAGGCCGGGAAGACAGATGGAACTCGAGATCGGGTGGGAATGGCATAAAGGTGGGCCGCAGTCGGTGGTGGGCGGAATCGCTATATGCTCTGGTCTGATTTGCGCATCGGGAAGACCGTCTTTGAGGAACTGAACCAAGTTGTCGGCTGGCTCTTGTTTGAATTTTCGAGCGGCGTGGGCGGAGCTAGCCGGGTGGCGGGTCGACAACGAGCACAAAGTCTATCGGATATGAAGTCTGTAATGTTGATGTTTGCTGGTTACAATGTTGTCTCTTAGCAAGCTGGCGCCGGCCAAGGTGGGATTAAAGGAGAAAAGCGGATTTTTGGATCTGGAGAACAGAGGTTTTCAAACAGACCAGACACTGACACACGGCACAAGGCGAAGGACCTTGGGAGTGGCAGGCAAGGAAGGAACCAGTGGACAAGAAACAAGGGCCTTTGCTTCCAGTGGTGGACAGGGCACTCCCGAATGGCAGGCCACAGTCCACAGAGGCTTGAGAGGGAAGAGTCCACACTCACCGAGGACAAGTTGTGGGACAGTGCTATACGGCAGCCGTGTTTGGCTCACAGGCTCACAACGCTCTTTTCTCTGCTCACGGCTGGTGGAACCGTGGATGCCGGCGGTGGGGAAGTCTTGTGCTCCAAGAAGCCACGGGAGCCATGTCTTTTGCTGGGGGAAGGTACCGGCAAGTCTTTGCCACTTGCAATTTTGACACGTTTGGCAATGCAAGGTACGCGGCAGTACATGAGTGGGCTAAACACACTGCCGCAATCTCCAACCTCAGCTGAAGCCCCGCCAATGTGACACTGTGAGCGGAGTTGTTGCAAAGGGCCCGGGCAACGTTAAAACCTCTAGCATGTGTATCACAGAGTTGAGATGGAATCGATAAAGAGCACGACTCTTCTTCTCCTTCCCTTCAACTCTTCTGAATACGATCTGCAGCGGATGTCTGCATTCCTCACAGCCCGTCTCACTTTTTCCATTCAACATGAAACAGGCGCAACATGTCAGTTGCAGCCTGCAGATGATGTTCGTCAGCCGCCACCAGAAGTCTGGAGGATCTATCATGTTGTTGAACTCCCAATGGCTTCTTTGTTGTCTTTCTGAAGTTTGACATTCCGACATTGTCGATACTTGGGTGCCAGAGACGAATCAAGACGACAAGTTTCCCACCGACATATCCACATCTACAAACCGCATCTTCACATGCAGACATTAACCCATCTTTCTACCGACGGCTGCCGTGGTCAACCCGCGAGATGTCTACGTCAACGACTTCCAGCCCCCTTCAGACCCGCCGGCAACGGACAGCAAAAGGCGGGCATCACCGCAACCATGATTGCCAATCCCGTCTCCGATCCCATCAAAACCCCGACATCAGACATCAGACATCAGAAAATAGAAGGCGGGGAAGGAAGCATCAGCAAGCTCTTGCCCAACCACAAGCGACAGGACTTCTTAGAGCTTGACACCCAACGGATCCATTGAACAAGCTCTGGCAACCCGCCGCACCTGCCGCCGCCGCATCCCATCCCTCCTTCTTTCCCCCGATGTCCCGATCTCACTCCTGTCGATGATGCTTTACTTGGCAACGTTCTTTGACCACACCTCCCACGGCAGTCCTACTACAGAAAAAGCGGCTGTGGCACAGTGTGCAAGTTTCTTATGGCCCCCTTTTACGGTTTAGCGCTGCAACTACACGCCGTCGATCATTTGCACTTTTGCTTCCATTGTTCGGCTTTTGTCTTGCTGGTCTGTTTGCAAGTGATTTGATCGTTTGCTTGCCTGTCTGCCTTTAACATGAAGTGCCTTCTTATCAAAAGCTTGTTTGCCTCTTTGCCTAGCTTCAATGATTCCGATATCACCAGTCCTTTTGCCTTGGAGTTGAGATGTGGTGCAAAGTTGCAACCTCCACCCATCCACCACCATCTTTTCCCCGAGCCAGATGGCAAAAAGACACAACATCCGACCATCTTGATTCTTGGCCACACACAATGGCACAAAGACAAGGGCTTTATATCATTCTGTATCACTGATACCACCTCCCATCTCCCCCAAACCGACGAAATTGACCACCAGTACCACCAAATACCACCCAGTAAGGGCAAAACTTCCAATAAGCGTAAACCACCCATGAACTAGCGGTAGAGACAATGACCACAGAAGATCTTGAATATCGCCATTTGTTCCCGCAACAAGGCTTTTCGGTTAGTCAGATGGGAAAGAAGCAATTTCTTGACTTTCTATAGCTCACCTCATCCCACCTTCCCACCTTCCCAACTTGAAGGCTTCGGTGCTTGGCTCACTCCACACTTTCTACCCTGTTAATATTTCCCGAGGAGGAAAATACATGGTTGAAGAAAAATGTCTAGTGTACCGAGCGAGAGATGAAGAGGAGACGGACGGATCTCGATCTGATCGACTGAGGTTCGGCACCATCACAACGCCGGCCTCTGCTCCGGACAAAGAAAAATAATATCCTCGAACACCATTGCCTCCGCCCGGAGCATAGGCCGGCGTTTCACCAAGACTCAGATATTCCTTTCCAGCGGGTTAAGGAATACTAACATCTGCCGGCATTAACCCTGGATAGAGTGTGGGGTTTGAAAATAACACGCGACGACCCTGACGATGTCTGGTGCTTGTGTGTGAGCCGATTGCCGAACAAACGTCTTGATTCTGAATGTTCAATCGAGGAGGCTCCAAACACTTGACAATGGAAAAGGTCCATGAAAATTCTCCAGGACTCAATATCCCACAGTGATCACTTCGGATAGGTAGTCACCCGAACTGCACATTCCTCTTCTTGCTCTCCATCCCTTCGTCTTCGTATCACGACACTCAGTCATCCAATCCCATCATCCAGCGTACCAAGAATGTAGCACGCCCTCAACGAGATATTTTGCGGTTACCTATCAGGACCCTACCGGGCTCAAGCGGTCATTTACACACAAAAACCCCTCCCACGAGACTCATCCGCGCCAATCATGGTACGAGTTTGCTGCCGATGAAATACCGTACCGAGCATATCCCAAGTACTCACGACCAGGTAATCTTACACGGTATTTTCCGTTCGTCGACCAAATATAAGAGGGTGGAAGCTACCCCGCGATTCCATTACTTTGGTAGAAAAAAGGGAAGGAGGTAAGGAGGGATGGTACGAAGAGGGGTGGCTTCCACTTTACGCGTGTGCGGCTATCTTGGCACTTGAATGTCATCCGGACGAGAGTTCAAATCTCCCCGGCTTACGTATCGCACCCTTCCTTGCTTGAGAAGATATAAGCATATATGGCCGGAGCCTGGTGAGGGGTTGGGAATCTATTGTAAATGATGGATTCCCGCTCTGCTCTTTGCTCGTCACGGTGTTCGGATGAAAAATAAAATAAAAATAAAACAAAAAAAAGCCCAATAGGCAGGTGTTTGGTAAGTAGATAGCAAAGACCCTTGATTTGCGTTTGTGTTATCTACCTAGCCTCCAGCGTGACTTTCATCGGTGCCTGAGCCTGGGTACCGATCCCGAAACCATCATATCAAGTTCAAATGCAAATTCCACCTGCCTACCTCTACAGCTTCCCACCTGCCTACCAAGCAGCTTCACAATCGTGTGTTCCCAACTGATACGTAGACTAGAGGTAGTGGTAGTCGTGCACAGATGAAAATGACGAGTCAAGCTGAAACACCCCTTCCATACTTAGCGCACACAGGACCTTAGATTGGGTTTGGGACGACCTAACAGGCAGGTCAAGACCAGGCCAAGGCCAACTGTTGACCTTTGTGTGTAAACGTTGGTTTCGGATCTCATTCATTTGAAAAGGCCAATGCTCTCGAGGTCGTCATGTAGGGAATCCGATGATGGACACGCAGCGTGCCTGCTCATGAAACCTTCTCGTGGGTAAGTGAGCCAAGCTGGGAAGAAGGGGCAATGGAGTAAGCATAACAACGTGGAAGTCACGAAAGTATAGGTGCATCGCAAATGAAGGTCAAGTTAAAAGGACAACACATTAGAGTAGAGAGTAGAGGGAAGGTGTTCAAGAATGCAGATTCGTCATTCATTTCTTCGCAATCGGGCACCAGCAAAGCAGCATGGTAACATCCAGAACACTAAGTGAATCAACACCTATCACCACCGATGTCTACCTAATGGGAACCCTCAGTCTAGACTTCTAGCCTCATCTCTCTTCTACAAACGGTGGTTGATTCTACCTCACTCACCCCCAACTGAAGGTATTAATCAAGACCAATCGAGAACGGGGAAAAGGGCAAAAGAACTAAACTTATAAAAAGCAGAGAGTCAAACGATCGAGAAGGATAGATAGAAACATTTCCATGTACACAATCGATAGAGCAGAGAAGACAGCGGGGAGCATGAGAGCATCAGAGTACCTTAAAGAAGAGAAGAAGAAAAAAAACCGCTACCAAACTACCGCTTCAACTATGGGAATAGGATAGGTACAGACCTAAAGAGCTTTGAAACATATCCGTTTCCTAGTGTGGTTTCCAGGTTTCCTAGTGGTTTCCGTTTCCGTTTTCGTTCGTTCGTCTCTAATGTACGAACTGGACTGAACTGAACTTTTACGGAACAAAAAAAGAAACGATCACAAAGAAAGTTCTCATTCATTTGCTCCGTGAAAGTTAAAAAAAGTCCATAGGAAAACCGAAACCAAACCAAACCAAACCAAACCAAACCTACGTTTCTGCCTTCCAAGCATTCCCAACCAACCAAACAACCATCCATCGAACTCTCTATTGTACGTACTCATCCACATCACATTTACACAAGCAAATAAACTACCCATTCCTTCCACTTCACCACTTG